GACCTGTGTCATGTCCAGCGTGAGCAGCCTCAGCGCTGAGACCCTGCCGCTGCTGTGTGTCACCTTCATCACCGAAAACAGCCTGGTGGCCGCCGTAAGTAATTGCACTCATCACTCTGTTCCAGTTTACTAGTATACTATGGTGCAAATAAGCAGTAAAAGGATTAAATGCTTTGTAGTTACAATCCACATTTAAGAAATTGAAAAGGAAAACATTGGATTATACTTGTTGGGTCCAAACAGTGAAGCCGTGCAGTTGACGCTCTTAAACCATAATCCATAGTGTACAGTCCGAGTGAATAAATTCCATGGAACAGTATGATGCAGTTAAAAACTCTTTACTAAGTATTCACACAAAAAAACGCATACTGGACAAAAAGGAAAAGGACTTAAAGGACGAGGAGAGAGTAGGAGAGGTCAAAAAACTGTGGCTACGATCCACACTCCACGCTTTCCCCTGGCACACCTGCACCATAACTAGCCTGAGCCAGGACTGAGAAAAAATATAAAATATATATTAAATCAAAATGAATCCATGATTAACTTAAGCTATAATGATTAACAGAGTAATTAACTAAATTAGATGCAAAATATACCAAATTAGATCAATTGCCAAATAATCAAAATTCTAATCAAAAATAATGTATTTCAATCAAATAATAACACAAACAAAATAGAAATGTATCAAAATATAATCAAAACAACAAAAATTCTATTTAGGTTCAATTAATACTATATGAACCTATTGCTATTCCGACATACCCAAGAGATTATGTTTTCATCAGGGTTTGTCTGTTTGCAAGATAACACAAAGTTACGGCTTGATTTTCCCACATTTTTTTTCATTGTCCCCGTAAGGAAAGGTGTCTTCTACATTTGACCCATACTGCAGAGCCACATTGCCTCAGTCAGGAGCAGTGGTCGCCACAGTGCAGCACCCGGGTTCATCTCCAGTTTTCAGTCAGGACCTGTTATGTTTGGGCACCTTTTCCCCCCCTTTTGGTTTTATCTTATCTTTTTTTTGTCCAGGTATTTTTGGGTTTTATAGTTATTTTTGTAAGATTGTGTTTTGTATAAGTAGGTTGCATTTTTATAACGTTTTTGTAACTTATTTTGTATATTTTGCAGCTCGGGTCGGGAGTATAAGAAGCGCTGTCCTGGTGCGCTCCCGCCCCTCTCTGCTCTCTGACTTTTGCAAACACCTGCTGAGGTGAGCGTGCACGTGCTGCGCGCTCCCTCCTAGTCCTGGTTTGCGGCCTCCCCAGACGCCGCATGGTTTGGTTGTTGCTTTAGCCATTTGGTTAGCCTTTTTTCCTTGTCCTTATTTTTGTTTGAGCTGGTGGGTCCGGTGGTTACATTTTCGTTAGAGGGTGTAGCTAGTTGGGTTTTGTTTATTCTTTAGTTAGGGTGCCGGCATCGGATCCGGACGGCCCTGTATAGGGTTGGTTCGGTGTCGGCCCATTTTTGTTTGTTTTGGCTGGCCCACCAGGTCCACCTTTAATTTGATTACTTTGGGTTTTTGTATTCTGGACACGGGGTTGGTTTGATTTAATATTCATATTAATAATAACAAACGTGAGTTCAGTTAAAAGAACATGTATAAATCAAATCATTATTTTTGAACTCTAAACCTGTCTCTGTGTCCTTAAAATATGTTTTGTCCTTCGCGTCGTAACAGGACCATAGCTGGAGGATTTTACCTATTGTACATGTTTTTAGTGGTAGGGTAAATCTACCCAGACGCAGAGAGAACATGTAAACTTTACTCAGGAAGGCCCTGACCTCTGACCTTCTCACTGAGAAGCAAAAGTGCTAGCCACTTGTCACCATGTTGCCCCTTGGAAGGAGGTTCCTCTATGGATTATGGAGGCAATCTAGATCCAGAATTGTTTGTAAAGAATGGAACTGCAGTTATAAATGCAGAATCACAATCACCAAAACGGTTTACTGTTCTGCCTGTTTTGTTTCTCAAACGTATTAGCCAGCGTTGCACAGGCATTTCTGCTGGCAGGAAAAGATATCTGCTGTACTCCAACTTAACCTGCAGTGGAGCGTGATCACATTTCTCTTGTAAAGGGACAAAGCCCAGATCAATCAGTCATTTATTTTCAAATATTTTATTCAGATCAATATTGACATATTTGTTTGGTCTGTTTTCTAGACACGCTTTCCTTTTAAGTAATGGCTGTCTCTCCACAGGGACACGACTGCTACCCCATGCTGTTCGTGTATGACGAGGCAAAGGGTAACCTGGCGTTTGGAGGTAAGCTGGATGTGCCCAAGCAGGCGGCTCAGAAGGGCATCAGTGCCAGGGAACGCTTCCAAAACCTGGACCGCAGAGCGTCTGAGAGCCAGGCCAGTGAGAAGGAGCTCGCCAGCCTGCACAAGAACACAGGCATTCAGCGTCCTGACACTCTCCATGCTATGGTTAACCATGCACAAAAAACTCCATCCATCGACCATCACGGTCAGGGGGTGGCGTCGGATGCACCATCTCTGCCCGCCCTCTGACCTTGCAGTGTGATCACGAGGGCGTCTCTGAGTGACAGCCTGACTTCAGGGGCTGGCAAAGGGAAGGACACAAGCACACAATTAATAATAATTCTTGGGTTTCATTAAACTGGCCAGTAGGGGGCGAATGAGCAGAGATGGGACAACTCAGATTTGCTCCCATTGAAAACCATGTAAATCGTGTCTGTTTGGAGTCAAAAGGCTCTCATCCTGTGCGGTGTACGGTTTTTGTAACAGTCTTAATCAGGAGGAGGACACTCAATTCTAAGGGAGTATTAAACAATATTCCTCAAAAGAGTCTTGATCTCGGGCACTTTTGGAAAGAAAACAGAAGAAATTGCTGCGTTTCATGCCGGTGGCCTGCAGGGGGCGCTTATCTGGGAAAGCCTTGATCCACCTCACCCGAGTGATTTTTTTCAAAATGTACTCCTTTATATGAGACCACAGTTGGAACACGGAAGAAACTCTTGACTTTTTCTCTATTTGCGCGGTTGCTACAAGCGTACACCAGACAAAAAGATAGCATTTTGACAGCGCTTCTTCTTCTACTACATCTCTGTGTGTAAACCCGGCAGACTGCACCGCCAGGGTACGTCACGTCCTGTCCTACGTTTGTTATTCACGCCACTGCCCTGACATCTTATGAAACCCAAGAATACGATTAATTACATAGTTTTAAATAATAATAAATAATGGAGACCCGGGGAAGGACCTAGGACACATTGCAGGGACTATGTCTCTCAGCTGGCCTGGGAACTCCTCGGGATTCCCCCGGATGAGCTGGAGGAGGTGTGTGTAGATAGGGAAGTCTTGGCGTCTCTGCTTGGACTGAAGAAAATGTTTGGATGGTATATGTTTTCTTTTTTAAATGTATTGCAGCCCCACCTCAGATAAAAGAGTGTTTTAATGTGTAGAGGAAAGATGATAGATCCCTCCTTATATCTTCTCATCAGTCAACTGTAAAGTGAGATGTAGTATTTACCTTGGACCACTGTTTCCCTGTTTGCAATACTAGTGGTCACTCATGATCTATGTAGGACTTAATAATGAATAAATATGACATTATTTAAAGTCGGTCAACTATGATTAAATGGGAAAAAACTTTAAACACTACTGGTGAGACAAAACAAAGGGGAAATGGCTCAGTTTGATCTTTCAGACAAAAAAGTGATGGTCTGCTGACTGTGACTCGTTTATTGAATGTAAAACTCAAAAAAAAGCAAAAACTGGCAACAATCTTCCTCATGTCATTTATTAACCATATATGAATATGGCATTTAACAGTTAAAGCAAATTAAATTCCACCAGCTTATATTGTAATATAGCATGAGGATTTATTTGCAGGCGGTTTACCTCATAGAATGTGCTTGAAGTAAAGATATTTTTCTTGTGTTAAATGTGTATTTCAGTCACATCTCGGTGCTGGATGGGGGGAAGACCCAGTGCTCCAGGTTTTGCACCACAGGCATGGACGGAGGCATGGCCATCTGGGACATCAAGGTATGTGGTCTGTCCTCTCTTTCACTACAGGCGAAAAGTTGGCAGTTTCAGTTTGTATACTCCATTATCGGAGTTGGCTTTTGTGAGTTTGTTGTACAGAAAAGAGAATCCCTCCGCTAATGAAAGCAAGGAAACAATTTACGAACAAGACACATACCATTAGACATTGATTTCAACAAAATTGTGAACAGATAAGAAATATGAGACGACTATTCTGTAAATTAGTCAAGATGTTCACTGTCCACGGCATAATTTTGTCCAACATTTGGGGAAAATCTCACGCTCAAAAACGTTAGAGAACGATGAAACGCTCTCCTCCTCTCACAGGTCCAACAATTATTCTGTCAAATAGAAAGTTAGCATAAACACAGCTTAAAAGTCAGCAGGAACTTCCTCATATCTTTGTTTTTATCGTTGTTTTTTGTTTTATCTTTCACCGTTTGAGGACTGAATATCTCTCCTTTGTAGACTCTGGAGAATTCCATGAAGAACCTGAAGATCGTTTGAGCTGGAGTTCGCTCAAGCCTAAATGCTGGGGCCCTGTTTTGCTTTTGCACTCTAATGAAGGGAATTCTCTTGGAAGGAGCTGACCTCCGTGAACGTGTGTGGTTAAAGTGAAGGAGTGAGCGCGGGTCTGGACATGGTACTGGAACCTTTGTATGAATCCTCAAAATGCTTATGCTGGTCATAAATAAAGAATATTGTTGCACACCTTTTGTCATTTCTAAATTATTTAAATGTAAAGGCTAAGCTGCTTGATGATGTTGGTAGTATTACTGCTTGTACTTGACATTTTAGTATTCTAGTGCAAAAAAAAAGTTTGCACTAAAGTTTTTGTGAACAATGTTTAAGAGAAATGTTAATATTGTGTATCTGGAATGAATTTTAGATCTTTAAGTTGCGATTATATTTTTGTTGAGTATAATTGTGGGGTATATTCTAATCGTTTTAGAGTTGTTAAAATGGTGTCACTACAGCAATCCTTCATTCTAGCCCCACCTAGCGGCCGCAGTGAGTGAGCTCGGCGTCCCTCCTCTCCTCACGTCTGCGTAAAAGCCGCTTGTCCCTTTGCTTCTCCATCCACCCGGGCGCACATCATCTGCCCACATCCACCACCACCACCACCACCACTCCTCCGCTGCCTCCTCCTCCTCCTCCTCTGTCATCAGCAGCATCAGGACCGGGTCTCCTCTGCTCTCTGCCCCCGGACGCGAACGCACCCCATCTCGGCTGTGGCTGTGGCTGTGGCCGTGGAGGTGCGTTGGGACGGCTGTTGTCGCTGCTTGCATCGCCCCCTGGTCCGGTCCGTGGAAAGCCCCAAAGCTCCTGCAGGCAACTGTTGCTGATCCACACTCGATGAATCTGGAAAGGTAAACATCTATCCTTACGCCTCTGCTCCTGCTGCTCTCCTAGATAAATATGCACACAGCTTTAATCTAGATATCAGATGGATGTGTGATATCAATAGTGTTTTATTGCCTTAGATTTCACCAAAACAAGCACATGTTGGCAGTATATTGCTTATGCACAGATTTCAGCTTGTATATCCGACATTTGAAAGTAGCTATATTTGATGTTGTATTGTGAGTTGCAACATTGAAATTCCCTCCTCTGTGTGATAAAGTTCTGGTATTGCTCTCAAAACATGGACATGGGTGGAGGATGGATAGCAGTTGCCAGTCAATTCAATGTATTTGTGTATACCCCTGCACTACCAGCAGTCCTCTTGGGGGGTGGGCTTTACAAATTTGTTGATTCTCCAACAACAGATCGGAGAATCAAACGGGTTGTCCTTAAAAAATGTAATATTAAGACACATTGGTTCATATAGGGGAGCGGGATGACCACTGTCCGTAAATGTGTAGAAATGTTCTTAAACGTCCCGGATCATCATAGTTCTTGGACACTCCTGCATCAACAAGGATTTTATTTTATTTTTTAGATCAGGGTGGGTTAAAAAAATACCTTCCTGGGAAACATTCTTGACAAGATCTTGTTATAGAGAAGGGTTTGATTCGCTGTGTTGGTGAATTGACTTCTGTTGTGATTTAGAGCTTTACAAAGGGCTATTCAAAAAAAGTTGAATGAAATTGAAATAAATAAAAGGTTAATCTTAATATTGCCACTAGATCAAATAACATGTTTTGCAATGCCTATAAACTAAAGATGCAGGGTGTAAATTTTCAGATGGTTTGTCCGCCCTGTTATTCCTTTGCTTGGAATCCATGTCAGTATTTGATTACTGAAGTTTTTACTGCTTATAATCTTGAATTTGTACATTAGGTCACCTTGCCTCTCTGCATACTTAACCTTAAACCTCAGTGATGTCAGTGATATCTGGTACCACGCATAGACAGGCTGTAGACGTGTCCAGAACCGATTTGAGTTTAGTTTAGTATGTGAAGTGAAGTTATAAACAAATAGTCTCTCTTGCCTTTATGCCTCAGTCACATTGAAGACTGCAGGACTCTGGCACCTTTACTTTCTCTTTGGCATGTCTGCATCATTTCAAACCTTTTCCCATTCAAAGCATAGTATTAAGATTTAGATTTTTCATCATTCTGAAACCATATGGTCTACTAGGAGTCTATGGGCAGCACTGTGGCCCAGTGGTGTCTGTTCCGGTTTACTCTAGGTGCTCCGGTTTGCCCTCCCACTAAAAATATGTACAATAGGTGAGGGTCAAATGAGTGCGTGTTTGTGAGTGTGACTGTGGGGCAGCAGATGGATATTAGAAATGAAAAGCTACAATCTGGTGTATTTACACTTACTGTTTATTAATACACACTGTCCCATCCAAATAAATAGATAAATAAATATATAAGATATTAGTATTAATTATTTTAAGTAATATTGCAAGTAAGTGACCTTTATTCACAGTATGTAGCACATTTCACAGACCGAGGGTATCAGACATAACTCAATTGAAAGAGACACAATTTTGGTTTACCAATCATTTCCATTCACCCCATACAAAATTGCTGCTGTATCTGTTTTCTGTCCAAGCAGAGACCCCAGCATGCAGCACTACTGTTCATCTGGGGGAATCCAGGGGCAGTGGCTCAGCTCTGAGCTCCCCTCTGTGACGGAGCTTCTCAAAAAAATAAGTTTCTTCTTTCTTTTTATAGTATTTAAAAAAAAAAAAAGTAGTGTAGTTCGTATGCTGAATTTATAACGGTTACAAAATGTTGGACTGAAAACGTTGACACATTCGCCTCATTGTCCCTTCACACGTCAAAAAAGTCTGACTCATCTGAAAATAACCAGGAGACATTTTGCAACAACAACTTAGAGGTGCATTCTTCAAGGATCCTGAAGAAGTTGAACACATGTTGAAATGTACATTCCAAAATCATTATGAATGAATTATTTTAGAATTATTTTTCTGCAGTGACAAGACTTGCCTCCCCCACAACTTGTGTATAAATATAGAGACTAAACAACATATAAATTAACCCTAGCAAAAAAGAGGCCCATCACCAGGACATATGAGGAATGCGTCTTAAAGTGTACCTTGAGGGTAGCTATATGTTTTAACAAGGCATGGTTTAGACCTCTTCCCCCAATGTGCCACATATTCCACAGAAGACGACAACAATGTGATTATCTAACCGCCCCACAAAGCCCCGTCTCCCAGTGACTCATTATGTTTCTGCTAATGTAACGTTGCTATTATAAAACACAACAGCGCCTATTCCTATGATGATTATTCAGAATCTGCACGTGGACCTGCATGTAGTGTATACATTATACGGCCATTTTAGAATGGGGATGCAGGTCACACTGCTGGAACAATGTGAACTGGAGCAGTCGTAGAGGAGGTGTTTTCCACAGAAGGCACGACATTCCCCCGCACCCAGGTTTCCATGGCGACAGTGACATCAGCGGAGAGGGGATGTGGGAGCTGTTTGGGTGTCTGCCGTGTAGCGCCGCTGTTGAAGATTTCATTTTAAGATGGGTTTTTCGTCCTGATTAAGACGGAATTCACAACGTTTACCTAGAAAAGAACTAGACAAGGCTGTAGTTTTAGTAGACCACAGTAACAGTCATAGGCTATGTGAGGGTGCTGGATATAGGAACAAATATCTATCTCTTTGTGTATCCTGGATCAGTCTAGTCTCAGACCTGCTTATCCATGCGGCCTATGTAGCAATGCATGTTTTTTCATTTTGTTAAGAGCGCCTGGGAAGTGGGAAGGGGTTTGGACACAGCTCTACCAGCTGCAGATCTCCAGAGCAAAGGACGTAGCACACATTCCTTCTTCAGTGTCTTTATGTGAACAGCACAGACAAAGCTGATATGAGGAAGTGCAAGAAAATACACAGGACTAGTTTCAATGTGATAACTTGTCTGAACAGAGTTTTTTATTTTATGTATTAGTTTATTTGAATAGGGACACTACACATTAATCAACATTGCTGTAAATGTGTCAGTATTAGCTAACAGCTAGTTGTGGTCGGAAATAGATCCTTAGCCATCCGTACACTCCGTTCAATCGTCATTTCACTGCATGTAACGTCTGGGTCTAGTCCCTGTGTTAGTGATTACAATCGGTTGAATTTCGACCGACCATTCAGAGAGCGCGGAAGGCAGGTGTTGTAGTTAGTTGTGGGTGATGTCAAGAATTTGCGTCGAACAGGCAGGTTGTAGTTTGGTAATGGCGAAAAATGTGATAGTAAAGTAATCCGGTCTGGTTCTATAAAGAAATTGCAGCCGGAGCAAGAGGAATGTTTAGCAAATGTAATTGCTGGAAAAAATTGTGGCGCTGCTCCCCACGGACTCCGTTAGCAGCAAAGGAGATGGCTAGGCTAAATGCTAAATATTATCACGGGAATGAATAGCAACGAGGATGTCAATGTTCATGACATTTTTTGGATTGGAGAAGACATTGTACAGAAGATACGCTACTGTGTAGTGTTGGCCATTTGTGGTGGTACTTGGAGAGGCAAGTATTTTCTGAGGCGGTATTTGGTGTAAAAAGTTTGAGAACCACTGCTCTAAGGTGTACCCGCAGGAGTCATGGACTAGAACATAGTTCTCTTAATTTATTTCAGTACTGTTAGGTAAGTGAATCAGGGTGGGTGCAACAAGGTTAATGGGAGTTGGAGTACCCCTAGATATGGTATAAGGGTTTAGTTTGGCATCACTGGTAACCCTTTCATGTGAAGGATTGACCCTGGCTAACGCGGACCCTGAGGAGAGACCAACACAGACCCCAGGGGGAGACCAGTGGCCCCCGGGACCCGGGACCCGGGAGAAACCTGCAATGCGGACCAGGGGAGAACAGGTCCAGCCTCGGGCAGCACCGTGCATTTAAGACAGATTTCTAAAGTTTTTAGCTAATTGCTTTTAATTCCATTTGGGTCTGTTTTAAGTAAAAATATGTAATTCTTGTACTTTTGCCTTTTTATTGGTCACACCCACTCAATGGACACTTTTAAACTTGACACACGTTGGCATTCATTATATTGATGATGATTAGGATAGATGGATGGAGGGATGGATGGATGGATTAGGATAGATTGATACTGTAGATCTATAATGTTGAACACCAACAGTAGCAGAGTAAATGACAAGAGTAAATACATTGAGAGGTTTATGAACTCTGAACGGGTGTTGTGCATTTGTGATTATAACCGGTGCGCCACGTGCTCTGTCCCAGCCGCAGGCGAAGGAGCTGCGACCATAACACGATACACGCACATAGTTTATAACAAATAACGCCACTGTTACATTGGATCATCTGATAATGCATAAAACTATCTCTTCAGTGAACTCTGCACAAGGTGTCTGTTTATTTAGCTTCTCTGCACGATGGAGCTCAACTGTCTCCGTTACTTTGTCTGTGAATATCTCATAAAATCTCGAGTTAATTCTCAAAATATTCAGAGATTAATCTAATAATATTTCGACTTTATTCTCATGATAATTCAACTTTAAAGTCAAAATATTCTGACTTTAATCTCATAGCGTCTGGCAAAAAGATGATTAAAAAAAATGGGTGACCCTTATGTTCGGTTGTGCTATTTTATTGTTGATTTATTTTTATTTGTTTATGCTTTATCTTTTTCAACATTTCAGGGCTCCACCTTTGGTCTGTTTCACATCAAAATTCTGAAAAAGCTGGCATCTGAAGGGTTAACTGCGCTATGAAATGTGATCATCCTTCCTTCCATGTTGATCCTCCTCATACAATACCTGGTCATGGGGGCAGTGACATTCAGACCCTCCTCATTTAAGACTCCTCTCGACTTGGAGGAGCACTGACTCTACTCTGAGCTCCTACCGTCTGACTGAACTCCACACCCGATTACTCAGGAAGTGCCCAGACTCTGCTGAGAAACTCTTTTGAGGAGAAATTAAAGATAAGCAGGAAATGAATAAATTGTCATCGTCTGTAAAGTCTTTCTCAAGTCAAGCTGTACATCACTGGTGAAACTTGAACCCCTTTTGGTGGTTATTAGTGGTTCCATTTTAATGCACTTTCCCATCCTCCTGTGGATACATCTTTGATTTTAACAAATACTGAAATAGTTTAGTCCTATTTCAACTTTTAGAACCTCCATATGATTTAAACCCAAAACCTGTTTTGTTTCTGACTTGGTGTAGATATTGCAGTGCGGAAGGACAAACAGTGAGATGGTGTCTTTTACATTTATCAGAAGTCTGAGAACCAGTGTTTGCATGTCCGCGAGCCGCCTCCCTCTGTGATCCTGCGTCACTGCTGGATGTTATGAATGAGTAGAATACAGTCTGGTTCCAAAAGACGGCTGGTCCAAGTCTAGGCAGGTTTGTGTTTTTTATATCTGAATGTTTTATTTCAGAAATAATATGGGTCAGCTGCATTGGGGGTTCCCGAAGTGCGGGTTGTGGGACAGAAGCTGGTGCAAGATGATTACCAGATGGACATATACAGATTTTGCTACAACCATTATTTTGATAGATACATATAGATAGATACAGATAGATATATATATATACACATTCTAATGAATTTAGCATGTTTTGATTCTGAAATACATTCGTTAGTGGGTTTGTAAGTTGGGTTTTTGCCTGTTTTGGGGGTCCTGGCCTGAAAGGTGTGGGGTTCCCTGAGATACATTTAACTTGTTTTTCTACTGTTTTCGTTGACAAATCCTGTGGTTCTAAACCTAGTGTCTGGGACCATTATTTATCTAATTATTTTTTTTATCTAAAATACCTTCGCCGCCTTTGTGTATTCACATTCACATCTTTAGATCAGTGGATAAGTGGAAAGAGAGAACCACCCTCTCTTTTTTCTTCACAACATTTTCCCTCTGTTGGAACAAACAAAGCAAAGATATTTATGAAGCAAAAAAGTTCTGTACCCCAGCTTTAATCCACTATACCTTGAGGTCTGGTTTACTCTTTTTACTCTTACCTCTGCTTTAGCTGATATTCACCTGGTGATGCCAAGACCACATATACCTCGCTAAACCCCCCGTATTCTCTGCTCGCCTCTTACTAAATAATAAGTGCGTTGTGACGACAGACAGGAGTAAGTAAGTAAGTAGTAAGTAATCTTTATTTATATACCGCCTTTTCACTGCAGATCTGAGTCTCAAAGCGGTTTACAATTGTTAATTTTTTTGGGGCATTTGTCTCTCACTCCACACAGAGATGGGAGGGGCCAGTACAGGAGGCGCATGCTAGAACTATTGGACATATTTTTAGTGGTAGGGGAAACCGGAGTACCCGGAGGAAACCTACGCAGACACGGGGAGAACATGCAAACTCCACTCAGAAAGGCCCTGGTCCGACCGGGATTCGAACCCAGGACCTTCTTGCTGAGAGGCGAGAGTGCTATCCACTCAGCCACCGTGCAGCCAGGAGCGCAACAGACCCGAGGCGGTTGCTAGGCTCTCGGCTGCTGTTGCTAGGTGACGGCTGCCATGACGACCAGCTGAAGCATGATGAGCGGGGGAGAGGGGAGCAGTAAACACGGCAGGACAAAAAAAGAGACAGGATTAGAGATTGATTTGATATGGGAAGGAATGGTTTTTGTGATTTTGCTCAAGCTGTTGGCTTGTAGTTGTTTGTTGATTAATTGGGTACTATTTTGTCTTAAATTACAAGGATTTGTATGGGAAAACTGTACAAATTAGCCATTGAGTGAACTAACTAGCTGAAGATGTTGGATGTGGGTTTTACAGTTTTGTGCCATAATACGTTTTTTTTAATATTTTCAGCAGTCCATAGTCCACAGTCTCATAGATACTGTATTTCACGTTATAATTCAATCAACTGCAGACGTCTTCCTTGTCTTTTAGCGTCCCTCAGTGTTGAGCCGGGCGCACAGGAAATGGACTATGGAGCCGCCTCTTTGGCCCCAGACAAATTCCATTACATTGACGACAGCAATAATGCACAGTTGATTCAATAATTGTGTAATAGGACAGCAAGTGTAAAAGTAAGTCCAACAGAAAGCCCCCAATCACCCCTTTATCCTGATCTGGTTTTACCTATGTGACTGATGCACTCTCGCCATGTGGAGCAGGTCTTTCCTTCCTGTTGCTTACCACAGAAAGATATGAAGAATGATAGAAATACAGAGTTTGAAATTTTGCGTTTTGTGTTTTGTTTCTTGCAGGTTTATGAACAACCGCGTTCCTCCTCATAAGAGATATCAGCCGACCGAGTATGAGCATGCTGCCAACTGTGCCACCCATGCGGTATGAGCTTCTCGCCATCATCGTGCTACTCCCTAGGCCCACCTATACCCTCACTACACCGTTAAAATCACGTACAGTAGGGGGCGCTCATGTTCTATCCAAAATTCTTTTTCAGTTCAGCTGGAGGGCCATTAGCTTGACTCTCGCCAGACCCTTGTAGTTCAGCCATGCTCCACCAGAGGCGTTTTGCTGAACACAAGGGTCTGGGATCGAGTGCAAACTCCTTCAGGAGATCAAAAAATAAGCAGCCAATCAGGATCGCCGGTGTTACGTCGGGTTTGCACCGCCTTCTCGCGTGTCTCAGACAAGCCCCGGGGATCCAAGATGGCGTCCTATTCAAATTAATGGCTTGTGCTCAGTAGTGCATGGGACTTGCAGGAGGACCAAAGATTAGCGGAACTCGCCTATATTTGGGCATCGTCTGGTCCTCCCGGTTCTGCGCAGTGGACGAGCTCCCATGATGCGTTGCGCCAAATACGCGTGCGTGGCTCTCATGCACGTGCTCGGCCGCGCTCTAACCAATCGGGGAGTGGGAAGGAAAGGAGCAGAGTTTGTGACAGTATAGTGTGGATTTAAAGAAAACTGAAGGATTTAAGAAGAAAATTTGTTCAGGATGACAAGGGACACAAAATCCCCACAAAATCCCCTCAAAATCCGACCTTTCTGAAAGCTGTAGGTTCTCTGTCAGCTGAGGTCGAGTAAGGGGATAATGTATAGTACGCAAGTCATTATCGGAAAGTAAGTACTGACAGGGCGAAGGTCTTATTTTTATGTACTTATTTACCAATAATGACCTGCGAACTATACATTATCCCGCTGATTATACGGCTTTGTACCAACAGAACACACAAAATAAAATTCAGTCCACTTTTAGGAATGCCGAAAGGTTTATTTAATGACAGAAAATAAAGGCCAAAGGTTTTCCCGTGGCTATGCTAGTAACAGTTAGACTAGAACTCTCTCGAACTGAACAAAGAATTCTGAACATCAGTGGTGAGTGACCCAAACATAAACTCAACCTAAATCCCATTATCCGATCCTCTGCAAATGGGTCCTAAAATGTCCCGGAAATGCGATCGCTTTTTTTCTTGTATTTTTGTCATGAAAACCTTAACAGATACTTCTGAAAACCTCCGTGCATGTGTATTAAGCATGTATATGTATAATGTATTCTCCGATTAACATTTAAATGTGTTGATTGATTGGTATTTGTGTTTATTGAGCGTGGCTAGCTCCGGAGTGGCCGGACTTCTTGTGGATTAATCTACACATCTGAATTACGAGCAGAGTTGCCATGGGCAGTGGTCATTATTGTTTTGAGAGGGGTGTTATCAAGAAATAATGACCGGTAGAACGTTTTGAAGTTACATTCAAATCAATGGAGCTGCTGCTGCTGTGAAGAGCCGTGTAAAAAGCTGTTTAAATTTACATTGAGTTCTATTGGACTTTTTTCTGGGAAGCCCGTGTGAATTTAGTCTGCAGAACCCCGGGCTAGTAATACCATATCCAGTTATTATTATAGATCCGTGATCTCAGTCAAATCAAACCAAGATGGCCGACAAGTCTGTGAATTAAAAAATAAAGTTTAAATACTAACGAGTAAAGACACAGATACGTGTGTTTTAAGAGTCAAATGTTTGTGTAAAGTTTGGTTTAAGTATTGGTTTAAGTGCTCATCACAACACTACGCAGCAGGGTTGCCAGGTTGGGTGGTTTCCTGCATACGTTTGTTCCAAGCAACTTGTTGGTAATAAATAGACAGAAAGACAAAAACCGAATCATGATAGCCCAAGTTGCGTTACGTTTTTAGCCAAAAAATCATTCCGGGTGGTTTTTTTGGGGCATTCTTGCAGGTTTTGGGCTGGAAAATCTTTCCGGCATTTGGCAACCCTGCAACGCAGTGTGCTGCATTGTGTGCTTCGAGGTGAGTGGTTGAAGGAACTCGTCATTCAAGATAACAGACAAGTGATTTATCCAATCACATACAAGGATTCTTTTACAAGGCCCCACCTTCTGAAATACATCCACTATGAAGCAGACCCAGACCCTTGTGTGAAGCGCAGCAAACTACAAGGTTCTGGCGAGAGTCAGGCTAGGTGCTAATATAACTCCATGGGAAAGAAGCCATTTTTAAAAAAAACAACTTCTTTCGCACATTTAAGGACATTTATAAACATATTATTGCATTTCTTGTGATCTAATTCTTTGATTCTCTGATCTGTTGTTGCTGAAGTGCCAATTTCCATAATCCTTTAAGACGACTGCTGTTGTAATTTAGGACTCTAAACAAACAATTGAAACGCAATGAAAAATTAAATGTCCAAATGTATGTATGTGATAGAGAGGATTTTTTTATCTGCCCTCCTCCACAATCTTAAACTATAGGCTCTTTGGAATCTTGTGATGTTACACAAACACAACCTATTCATATATAGTGGTAGACTAGCTTTTGAGCCGAATAGTTTGCAAATATTCTTTTATGTCACATTATTGATAATCTCAAAGCTCTTTGATAATAATGATCAAAGACACAGTGCTCAGTGGTGGTAAACTACTGTTGCTCACTGACGGAAGTGACCAGTATGTGCCCCCAGCCCATACTGGTGGCACATACTGTCTTACCAAAGGACAACTTTTCTGCTTCAGCCACCCCCCTGTGCTCCACCTGTTCTCAGAGATCTCCCATCACAGTACTAACCAGGCCCTGCCCTGCTTGGCTTAGGAGTGAAATCATTTACCTAACTAAAAGTGTAAAGGTCAGTTAATACGCAGAAACAACGTTTCCTATCATAACTATGCAGACGACACTCAGATCTATGTCTCACTGACTGCAGGAGAACATGGACCAGTGGACTCACTCCTTCACTGTATCCAACAGATCAGTGAGTGGATGCAAAACAACTTCCTTCAGCTAAACGCAGACATCTAGCTCAGCTCAGACAAAACTGAAATGATTGTCTTTGGTCCCCAGAAACAAAGAGAGAGCGTCATCTGTCACCTACAGTCTCTCTCCCTAAAACCTTCAAACAAGGTCAGAAATCTAGGGGTAATACTGGACTCAGACTTAAATTTTAATAGCCACATCAAATCAGTAACATCAGCAGCTTTTTACCATCTAAAAAACATTGCCAGGATCAAAAACATAGTGTCTAAAGCAGACTTGGAGATTCTTATCCATGCATTTGTCTCCAGTAGGTTAGACTACTGCAATGGCCTGCTCACAGGTCTGTCCAAACAGGCTGTAAAACAGCTGCAGTACATTCAAAATGCAGCAGCTCGAGTCCTGACTAGAACCAGGAAGAACGACCACATTAGTCCAGTTCTCAGGTCCCTGCACTGGCTTCCTGTGGCTCAGAGAATAGACTTTAAAACAGCTTTGCTTGTGTACAAATCTCTCCATGGCCTCGCACCAAAATATATTAGTGACATGTTAGTCCCATATGAACCAGCCCGGACTCTGAGGAGCACAGGGACTGGACTCCTGTTAGTGCCCAGAGTCAGAACTAAACATGGGGAGGCTGCTTTTCAGATTCATGCTGCTAAAATCTGGAACAGTCTTCCTGAAGATGTGAGACAGGCCTCCTCAATGACAATGTTTAAAACCAGGTTAAAGACAGTTCTGTTTAGCTGTGCATACAACTGAGGGATTTTATATTTTTATCTTTCTTTTCAATGTTCTGTGATAATTTATGATTTTAATGCTTTCTTGTTTTGTTCAGCACTTTGAATTGCCTTGTGTATGAATTGTGCTATATAAATAAACTTGCCTTGCCTTGCCTAAAGTCTTTTTTTTTTTTTAAGTAATTTGAAACACTTCAACAGCAGTATACAGAAATGTTTCATGCCGAAAGTATGACAAAAATGTTTTTGTGTGCGCGTGTATTTTTGTGTGTGTGTTTGTGTGTGTATTTTGCAGCTGTGGATAATCCCAAGTCTCCTGGGCAGCTCGGTGCTTCACTTCCTGTCCGATGGCCAATGGGAGCGCACGTCAGCGTGGCTGTACGGGGCCGGCCTCAGCTCGCTCTTCATCATCTCCACCCTATTCCACACCGTGTCCTGGAAGAAGAGCCACCTCAGGTAGCACTGCGGCAGCTGGTGGAGGGTGCATCACTCCTACTTCACTTTTCTTCTTTTCTATTAACACTTGTTGTTTGTGTTGTTGTTGTCTATGGTTCTCAGGTCAGTGGAGCAGTGCTTCCACATGTGTGACAGGATGGTCATCTACTTCTTCATCGCAGCCTCCTACGCTCCCTGGTGAGAGCTGCTCACCTGCCTGTCTTCTACATATTTACTGTCATTACAGGCTATAATAATGTTGTGAAATGGTCAAATTAGGATTGTGTGTATGACAGGTTAGTCTACCCTCCATCTTTTTCTTAAAGTTAAGATGGATGTATTTCAGATCTTGCCGAGTTTTCCATTGCTTTGGTCATGTTGAAAATATTACCAAAGATGGTTGGTAGACAAAGTTGGTAGACATAATTTCTATGCCAACTCCAAGGGCATGAACTCTAAATTAAAGATAAAACACAGCTTAAACTGTCATAATACATTTTATTTATATTTGAAACACTTCAACACACAATTATATATACAGTATATATATATACTATATATATCCTCTTCATTCATAAAATTCATTTTCTGTTTGGAACTCAGTTTTGTCCCAAACAGTCATTTGACTGCTGATACTACGTTCTGTGGCAGGCTGAACCTGCGTGAGCTGGGTCCCTGGGCATGTCACATGCGCTGGCTCATCTGGGTCATGGCCTCTTTCGGCACTACCTACGTCTTCTTTTTCCATGAGAGGTACCGCACACTTTCAAATCTGCTCTCACATTCTCAACATCGATTTACATGTATTAGTACTGTTTTACTTATTTTTTACATTATCCTGGCAAGTGACAACTCCTTATTGTATTTGTAGTCAAGACAAGACATCAAGACAAAAATAATCTTATGTTGTGTGATTGAAGCTGTTTTTTAACAGCAGTAAGTCAGACCAGTTCCCAGTGCATGTTGGCCTCCGCCAAGCAGCCAGTTATGTTCATTGTTTTTGTGGACAGATTTTCAGGCCGCAAGCAGAAGTCTGGTTTGGGAACCACATAAATTCATCTCTAATGTTTGCAGACAATGTTATATTGTTGACTTCATCAAAACCTACTGTAACTCCAACATGCACTGGGACGTTTGCAGCCAAGTGTGCTGCAGCAGGGATGAAGATCAGCACCTCCAAATCCGGGTTTAGGTTTAAACAAGGGTACCACAGAGTGTAGAACATCCTTACATCTTGCATTTTGTTGCAAATTGCTTGTTGACTTGGATATGCTATTGGTTTGCTTGTATTCTATAACCCATTATATTATGGTTTTAGGTTTTACATCTCTTATAACCAGAATGTTTACAGTAGGTTTACAGGGAGCTCTCCTCTGCATTCTGGTGACGTCAGCCCTCGTCTCCAATGTACATTCTAAATGTAGTCCCATACTCTGGAACATTGTGTGTGTGTGCCTCAGGTACAAGCTGATGGAGCTGATATGCTACACGGTGATGGGGGTGTTCCCTGCCCTGGTCATCCTCTCCATGGTGAGTTCCTCTATGGACATGCATTTTTACGCACGCACCCACACACACACAAACACACCATATGGATTTTTGTGTTCTTTTTCCTTGATGTTGCCATCGCTTGGAATTGTCATGTCCACCACCACCGCTTTCTTCTGCCCTTTGTCTACCACCACATGTCAGGTTGGTTCGCCATTACCATTCGGTCGGTCTGTATCTGGAAGTCCCACAGGATCTTCGCACGCTCATTCTCCACCACCTTTGGAGGAGTTTCCCACTTAGACCTTGGAGTTTCCAGCCCAGACTCTGCACAGATGTTTCTGTACACTATGCCAGCCACTTGGTTATGGCGTTCCATGTAGGCCTTCCCTGCCAGCATCTTGCACCCTGCAGTTATGTGTTGGATTGTCTCAGGTCCTCCTTTGCACAACCGACACCTTGGGTCTTGTCTGGTGTCTTGTCGCTCTGGTGCTCAGGGCCTGCTCCTGTGCAGCCATGATGAGTGCCTCTGTGCTGTCCTGTAGGCCAGCCCTTTCAGATCAGAAACATCTGCTATGCTCCGGTGGTACATTCCATGTACCTTCCCCCCTAACTGTTTCTTCACCTTGTCATGATGACCACTAACACTGCCTTTGTGTGTGTGTGTGTGTGCACTCCCATAGCCAGAGCAGGCAGGCCTCTTTGAGCTGCTGGTGGGTGGGGCCTGTTACTGCCTGGGCATGGTCTTCTTCAAGAGCGATGGCATCGTCCCGTTCGCCCACGCCATCTGGCACCTGTTCGTGGCCATGGGCGCCTCCGTGCACTACTACGCCATCTGGAAGTACCTCTACGCTCCGCCAGCCAATCAGGTGCATACGTCCAGATGACATCACCCCTAACCAAGAAGTCATCCAGTGTCCAGAGAGGCGAACAGCGATTGTGGGATATACTTTGACGTCTTGGAGTGGGGTGGACATTTTGGGTTGAGAGATTTCATTACATTTTTGTAGATATGTTTACACTGTTGTATTACATAAATATTATATACATTGTTGTTCAAAAGTTTGGGGTCACTTTGAAAGTTTTAATTTCTTACTAAAAGAATAAGATTAAGGCCACTGGAGCAAGTCTAGTTCACTTGGGGAAAAGAAGTGACCCAGAATTGGTCAAGTCAATGTGAATCAGACAAACAAGTGACCAACCAACACCTAAATGAATCCAAAGTGCAGTGTAGATGTTATTTATGTAGTATGTGGCTATTGTAGTTAAAAATAACCATGTGATAGTACTTAGTTGTGTCAGTGTATTGTGTGAAATGACTAACTGATGACTAGAAAACTCTTGTGCAATGAGGTGCTAACTGGAGCTATGAAAATGGTCCTCTTATGAGTATCATCTGCATTTGTTGGTTCAGTTTATGAATATCATAGATTGTTTTGAAGGCTGAATCTGTTTTCCATAACATTTCCAGGTGACCCAGCTTTTGAATGGTGGTGTAAGTAGATTAACGGATTTGATTATTTACTATTAGTTTACAATCAATATACAGCATAACTAATTCAAACATTATTATTGTAACACTGTCTAATGACTGCCATCAAGTCTGATAAAACATCCAAACATAACGTTATCGTAATAAAAAGTGCACTCAAATGATTCGGGTTAACTTAAAGCTGGGGTACTTCACTTTCCAACACTGATGGTTGTTGGTTCATGTGATAAAATCCTTCTAACTCGTTTCTCATTCCCAAAAGTGTTATAATAGTTTGGACATACATGTATTTTTGGTCACGACTGTTGATCAGCTTTTTCATGAAGCACTATCTCAGCCCAGAGAGTCCAATAATGACTCACAGGGCTCATTCTTACAATAATGGAAAAGATACATGTTTTCTAGAAGTCTGATTTGTTCTCAAATTATTCTTGATAAAAAGTTAGGTACCCCAACGTTAATTCATAGTTACCAAGCCTGAATTCATATTGTCACACCCTTTCGTTTTTGTGACCCGTGTATGTTTGTAACAACAGCTGATTTGTGATGGCGTTTCCCTGAATTTGTTCTTATCTAAATCAGTGTTTCCCAACCGAGGGTACGCGGAGCCCTAGAGGTATGCGAGGGTATTAAAGGGGGTACTGTAAAGGATCATCATGCGGGCTACAATGACATGTTATGCATCGTTTTGAAGCACACTTTCTTCAGAAACTACCATAACATTATTTTAATCCAAACATTGTACCCAGAACTTGATTAACAATGATATTATTTGAGTCCATCATTCTGCAATAGCGAGCCTTACTTTTTTATGATTCAGGTATGATTCAGTACAAAGCAGCATGTATTGTTTTTGCTCAGAAATATATGAAAGGTTAAAGTTAAATTACAGCATAAATCATGTTGAACAAAAAAAAGATGAGTTATAAACACTTATCCCCAAGAAAATGATCGAGATCTCAGTATAGCTGTAAAGCCAAAAAATGGTCCAAAATGTTGACTGATGCACATGTACGATTTTTGGTTTTTTTTTGCTTTATTTAATCCCCCTTAATAACAGTGGGGTGTGCGTACCTTGAATGTGCTGTCGAGGGCGTACACAGGGCTTTTAAGGTTGGAAACCGCTGATCCAAATCCCAATATTCAAATTCCTTTTAAATATAGACCCTTCTCACTATACTGCTAACTAAACACTCTTTTGTCCCACTCGATAACCAAAGGTGTCTTATGTTCATTTTCCAGCTGATGAAGACTGGATAGAAAAAACATTGGGACACGAGATTATCATTTCAAAGAGTTGTTGCTGCTTATGTTGTTATATTCAGGGGACCTAGCTATGAATACAGCTAATGCTTAGATAGAAGTCACTTAAAGTTGTATTTATTGATATTGTCACATGTTTGGTATTTATTTTGAATATATGTTGTTTCTCTACATGACACAGAGTATGTATTTGCAATTTTGAGTGAGTCGATTTAATGATATTACGATTAGATTAGTAGAACTAGAGTTTGTTATTATGCTGTATAGACATAGTGTTTTTAACGCATTCGACATTTTAAGATTTCGAGTTTGCTGTGTTGCCTTTTTAAACCAAACTTTTTAAATTGTTATTCTTGGATTGGTACCACACTGCCATTCACTACTGCCACAGCGTATCACTACCAATGGAGGGTGGGGGAATATATGATTTATTCTTACTAGTTTAGAGGCATCTCAGGTGCAGTTTGGAGCATATCGTGGAAGCAAAACCCATCGCTTTAGTCTATATCCTTGAAGAAGCTGATTAGAACTAACTCAAGCAAACTCCATAGGCAGGGATATGGAGCTAAATTGTATCACTACCTAGCAACCAAAACGCCATCGGGAGTGGTGCTGGTTTGTTCCTGCTCACGCTTTTAACTAGGCAAAGCTGAATTCAGGGATTGAAGGCACATGATTGAAACACAGTATAAAAATAATCGCTCATGGATCACGCAGAGAATTCAATCCTCGCGCAACCAAAAAGTTTTACCAGAATGATGAGTGTGACGCAAACTCGGCAAAAGCTGACTTATAATGTAAGTCGATAGAAAACAAAGTGAGTAGGATCATCACAAGTCCAAGAGCGCTTCCCGATACTCCATGCTCCATACACACACAGCTTAAGACATGTAGTATGTATGTAAGGGCATGTAAAGTCAATGTTTACAAGTGAAGACAAGCCTATATCACTATATTATTATTATTCATTTGAGATGTATTTAAGATAGGATAACCTTAAAGTTTGAGTACTTAGCTTTCAAACATCAAAAGAATCCATTGAACTAGTTCCTTGCTCGCTTGGTCCGATCACTGGTGTTAGAAAACTGAAAAAAGAGGACCCTCACTCAGCCAATCAGGAGTTAACATTACAGACAGTAGGAATAGAAGAGTGCTCAAAACAAAACAAATGAGATAAAAACATTAAACAGATGACAATAGTAGTGAAAGATAGTAAGAGGAATTTAAGCTTCTCTTATTGAATCGCACCAGGGAGACTGTCATACATTTTTGGCACAATTTACACCAACAATGAACACAATAAACAATAAACTTATACAGACAAAGGGCCTTTTTGCAGTGAAGCTAAATACTCTGGCACTATGTCGTCACCATACAATAACTGCATTTTAGTAAGAGTAGCTGTTGTAGTTTAAACTCTTGGAAATTCTATTATGTCACAACCACAAACAATTATTTAAAAGCAAAAGACTCCAAGATTTTGTTCTCAATGGCTTTGTAGTTGTGTTATGCCCAGATTATGGATTGAACAGTGGTCTGTGAGATGTTCAAAGCATTTGTTTAACCTAACCATTATTCAAACCTCTCCACATCTCCACTCGGGACCTCTCTGGTGTGTTTCTTGGCCTTCATAATGCTGTTTAGTGACCAATACACTCCGACCATAGTTCTGAGGCCCTCACAGGACAGCTGTAATTATACTGAGAGTAGATTACACACAGTTGGGCTCTAAATAATCATTGGGGCAAGGTGTGAATGTTCAGCATTAGGACTGTTTTAATGCTGTTTTAAGGGAATCTAATGCACTCAGGGAAATGTTGAATGAAAAATTGTGCAGGTCCCAATGAAAGATCATGTGTAATTTTGTTCGTGGCTGTAACAAAAGAAAATGAGTAAAAAATTCAGTGTATGGACACTTTCGCAAAGGCACTGTATATGCCGATTCAAAAGGCTTGGAACAGGTTAAAACAAAATAAATTAAACACATTGATATTAACACAGTGATGTCATTTGTTCCAAAATGCTGCTAGTACTATAAAAAAGGGTTTGAGCAGTGGTTTAAATGGCTGGTTTTGTTATTATCTAGGGAAAACATATTTTGAATTTGAGTATCCGAAAAAATTGTGCAAAAATGGTCATTCCAAACCTGTGCCAGGACCCACTGTGACCAGGCCAAAAGTGCCACGTTTTCTACTCTATCAATGCATGAAAACCTCAACAATTTTAAATTCCAATCTTACCCACTTATATACGAGCCAAAATATACATTATTTTGCACATGTATCATTGCGTTTACACTGCCACAATGCTCCCGTAACAGCATTCTGTATTATTTTTGATAGTGATACGTCATCTATAAATAAACAATATGATGTGTTATTACTTTTTATCGCTATTTGTGCATTCAGATATATTTCAACCAGTATTGTTGCTATAAATGAGTTGATTGTGGGAAAGGGGGGCAACTACTATATAATTTCTCACTTTTTTTAATAAAGTGGTTGGTTTGTGCTGTTTTATTTATTCATGAATTCTTAAGTTTTCTTAATTGTACTTAATTGTTTTCTATAACAGTTGGGGTCTTCCCCTGAAACTTTGTCTTTTCTACTCTAAACAGTATTCTATAAACATATCTGGTCATGTATTCCTTGTGCCAGTGGTGCTTGTGCTGTGATGCGCCAGTATGATGCCAACAGTACTTGTATCTTTTCTATTGTCGAAGGAATAATAAAGCCTTTCCATGCACATATGTGTCATTCTGTCTTTGCACACTTGATACAATCACATTCAGAGATGGTACAGTATGGTGGGAAAACACACTCTTGGCTTATATATACACTCTAATGCAGTGTCTCCCAAAGTGGGGTCCGCGGCCCCCTGGTGGGCCGCGAGGGTACTGCAGGGGGGCCGCGGGAGGTCGTAAAAAAAAAAATAATAATAATATTATTATTTAATGTTAAATTTATAATGTTTTGTTTGTAATATTAAAATATTTGTGTTCATTATTTGACTTGAATAATCCACTGTAATCATTTTTGTATTACAATGTTTGTAGCAGAGGCTATTTCCCCAAAATAAAATAACCAGAAGAGCCTATTCTTAATGTTGTCTTCTTGGTTATTATTTTGGGGGGCCACACAGACCCGACAGATTTTTAAGTGGGCCTCGGTGTTACTGAGTTTGGGAATGGCTGCTCTAATGCATTGGCATATTTAAATTTGATAGTTTTGTTCCATTTCACTGGATTAATCAAGTAATTGCACTTCCAATTCCAACCTGTGTTGCCAGTGCCTCACAGCACATGTGAACACACATGTGAACACTTGTGAACAAACTGTTGCCTCTCGAGTTCTAATGATGAACTTTCAGGTAAACACCTACTGAAGTTCACTCGACATACTGTCAATACAAGTGACACTGATGCAATTTTAACTCTCCCTTCTAATTGGATATTCAGTTTTGAGAACACAAATATCAAGTGTTAACATACACAATTTGGCTATTGTGTCGATTGTGGTCAAATGATAAAGGTAAAGGGTAAAAGTACACTTTGTTAATCCCCGCAGGGCGATTTATCCTCTGCATTTAACCCATCCTGATGGGCTTACGACAGGAACAGTGGGTTCCGTAATTGGTATATGTTTATCTCTTGTCTGGAGAAACACACATCCATATAATAAGATAAGATAAGATATTCCTTTGTTAAATGTCTATTTAATTCTCAGCTTTTGAATTATTCAGTGATTTAATTCAAATCAATTATCAAATAAGATTGTTTGCTCCTAAAACAAAACAGTACATGACATGCAGCAAATATGTAACATTTTCACATTATTTTCTTGCATATTTATTACTTACAGATGGTACAGTGTGGTGGACAAGCCAGACCGTTTTTTTGGGTTAATGCAAGTTACAATAAAATACATGTTGTATTCTTTTCAGAAATCAGAAATCACCTTAGTGGCCCAAAAACCCTTTGTCTTTTTTTGGCCCAAAATGTTGCACACTGTTGCGTCAAGAACAAGAGCCTTCCAACGGTATTGTTGCTATTCCACTAAACACCAGCAGACGGGGACATTTCCCCACCTCACCCTCTTGTGTGGCGTACTGCCAGCAGCAGCAGCAGCGGCAGCAGGTGCGCCTCCTCATCCGAAACTCTCCGAAGGTAACAGCCACGAGCGCTGCTGCTGCTTCGGCTTTTTCCGTCAGCCCTCGGCTCCTCAACGCTGCTGCCGTTTGTGTGTATGTGTGTGTGTGTGTGTATATGTGGGAATGCGGACCGTCTGTGGTGAAGCAGCAGCCCGAAGGCGTTAGGTAGGGCACGGCGCAGCAATTCCAGGAGCCGCGTATCCATCCAAGTTGACGAGCTGATATTTATTATTTATTATTTATATATGGTCAAGGATGAGGTTCAGCCTTTCGGACAGAACGCAGCAGCTGGGTGTTTCCCCACGGTATGGGAGATTTTCTTGCCCCAAGGAGGGGGTATGAGAGAGGATTCCCCGTCAGCAGAAGGAGCAGCAGCAGTGCCATGGAGCAGCGCAGTGCAGGCATCGGGAGTTGAGCACACGCGTTGCCCAGACGGCTCCCCCGGGACTGGGCTCGTCACTACTGGAATTCAACTTTGGTCCTAGCTAGCAAACCACCAGAGACCACCTTATTTACAGGTACACGCGCCACAACGTGGACTTAACCTGGGAGCAATGGCGTGTGTGGACTGGATTGTGTTTGAAAATAGGGCATGAATACGGTGTGTTGGTAATTTAATTTCAGCTAAGCGTGCTGGTTGTTCACTAGCGGTGCAGGCTGCGCGGGTTCATCTCCTCAGAATGTTCCGCTGCCTTTTGTTGCTACGGCGGTTGCTAAGGACGACCGCACGAGCCTGGACTTGTAAACAGCGCTCGCTTGTACTGTCGAGGTTTTGACGAAGTTTAGTCCCGGTTTAGTCATCATCAATTCAAGGTGTAGTCGTCGTTTGATCCTGGTCTGGTTCTGGTTTAGTCCTGGTTTAGTTCTCATTTAGTTCTGGTCTAGTTCTGATCTAGCCCTGGTTTAGTCCTGGTTTAGTTCTCGTTTAGTCCTGGTCTAGCCCTGGTTTAGTCCTGATTTAGTTCTGGTTGAGTGTTTAGTTATGGCTTAGTCCTCTTCTGCTCCTGGCTTAGTTCTCGTCTAGTCTTTGTTTTGTCCTGATCATAACCCGGTCTAGTCCTGGTCTACACCTGGACTATTCCTGGTTTTGTCCTGGTCTCGTCCTGGTTTAGTTCTCGTTTAATTCTGGCCTAGCCCTGGCTGAGCCCTGGTTGAGTCTTGGTTTAGTTCTGGTTTAGTCCTCCTCTAGTCCTGGTTTTGTCCTGGTCGAGTCCCGGTGCAGTCCTGCTTTATATTGTTAGTTTATCCCTGGTTTAGTCCTGGTCCAGTTCTATTTTAGTCCTGATTTTATTAATGCATCATGTTACACGCTTAGGGTTCTAAGATTATTATTTTTTTATTCTGAGAAGATTTTTCAAGAAGATTATTGGGGCAAAGTACGATATCCTTATTTACAACTGTATCGTATTGAAAATACCATGTCGCGTATATATTGACAAACTCTAAAAGATTCCCAGCTCTACCGGTTACAGCATTTAAGGAACCTTTTGAGTTCCTGATAATTTTGGTGACTCAGTGTACAACACTGACCTTCTTATGAAAAAAAAAAGTTATTTATCCATAAATTGTTACTTTAGGTGTACAGTTTAGACATGCACTATGCTGTAAATTTAAGTTATGATCATTTCAAGTTTTTTTATTAGTTTATTTAACAGGGACAATGTACACTCATAAAGTAGAAAGTAATCTTTATTTATATACCACCTTTCACAGACCAGAGTCACAAAGAGTGTTACAATTGCGGGCATTTGTCCTCTCACTCCACACAGAGATGGGAGCGGGGTCGCCAGTACAGGAGGTGCATGCCAAATCTATTGTACATGTTTTACAGGTAGGGAAACCAGAGTACCCGGAGGAAACTTGTGCAGACATGGGGAGAACATGCAAACTCCACCCAAAAAGGCCCTGATCCGACCGGGATTCGAACCCAGGACCTGCTTGCTCAGAAGCGAGAGTGCTATCCACTCAGCTTAATTTCAGTTCAACACAGTGAAAAGTGTATATTATTGTATTAGTTCTTTTGAAAATATACTTCTAATGTCTTATTGCCGCCATGAGCCCATGTTTAGTTTTAATTCATGTTTATTCCTGATTCAGTCTCATGTTTTACTTGGTGAAGGTGCATAATACAGCCTTAAAAAGTACTGGATCGCTCCTAAGACACAAACATAGCTATTTTCATAAGAGGACTAAACATATGCGCCATAGCACATAGATGATCTTTGAATTGTAAGAGAAACACATAGCCTGCCTTGGTTTCTGACCACTAACCATAGATCCATGCCACTAACACACTCACTCCCTTATCAATGGGAGTCAGAATGAATAATTTCTAGATTGATTAAATGCAACACACACTTTTCAGGTATGCACAATCCAGCTTTTCCATGTCTGAAACCAAACTCCAATACAATGCCTGATCCCACCAAATGTTAAAAGATAAGCAGTGTGGGGCTTGGCAAGTACTGTGATGGGAGAACTCTGAGGAAACCAGGTGCTACAGTGGGGCAGGTGCTGCTGTAATGTTCCAAACTGTCCTTCAGTCACATTGTCTCGTATAAGTCTGGTATTTGTGGGTTCCACAGTGGTCGGAGCTGCCCATGGCACAGTACAATAGTCTTGCTTCTCTCCAGGGTAGCTGTGGCTACAGTGGTAGTGCATTATTACCAGGTATGGAGTGAATGCTCTGAAGAATTTTGGCTGTCATTAAAAGCGCTGTATAAGTAATATTCATTATGACATTATCTCTCTGTTCCCTATATGAACCGGGACTTTTTCCCTTAAAATCACGGACAACTTATTGCAAAATGTGCCCACTTGTGCTACATGTACAGCAAGTGTTATTTGTAAGTAACTACAAAAACGTTAGCCTGGTCGTACCACACCATAGTACAAATGACCTTTCGTACTTTGGTCTGGAGGTGCTCCATTGAGCTCCGTTTACAGGTGGGAGGGGTTAAAGCTGCACTAACTGACTTTATTTTCGTATTAATTACGAAAATGCTATCCATGTCCATGTAGTGCATTGGGATATTTGTCCTTTTGAAGAAAAAGTAGCGCAGATTTGTGCTGGCCTGACATTATATTTTCGATCGAGTTTTGATGAAACAAGGAAGAGAATGTGTTTCGGGTCGCAGATTGTGACCAATCACAGCGCACCACTAGCCCCCACTTTCGTGAGAAATCTCCAGGTCCGTTAGCACAGACAGCTGAGTTAGCACAACAAGCGGCGGAGCTAACCTGAAACTTTCTCGTCTTCGTCACCGGATACTGCTTACACAGCGAAACAGCCATCCAAAAGAAAGTCTCGTTCTTCCGCGCTTCCCGGTTCTATCGTTCTATGGTCACGCCATCCACGTGAAAATCCATATCCATGTATTATCCATATTGTGAGAGGCTAGCTCCGTCTCAACACTGTGTGTGTGTGTGGGGGGCGATAGCTTCGTGGGTGCGGGGAGGGGAGCAGAAAGAGAGAGGCCAGCGAGTCCACGGCTTCAAAATCCCAAAGTCAGTTAGTGCAGCTTTAACTTCTTTTGCAGAATGAAACAATTGGATCTGAGTTTACTGTGACGTATGTAGTGCGCCCGAGTCTGTTGTTAGCATTTAGCCTAGCCATCTCCTTTGCCGCTAACAGAGCCCGTGGGGAGTAGAGCCACAAATTTATTCCAGCGATTACATTTGCTAAACATTACCCTTGCTCCGGCTTCAATTTCTTGATAGAACCAGACCGGATTACTTTTTTTTTTCGCCATTACCAAACTACAACCTTCCTGTTCGACGCAAATTCTTGACATCACCCACAACTAACTACAACACCTGCCTTCCACGCTCTCTGAATGGTCGGTCAAAATTCAACCGATTGTAATCGCTAACTCAGGGACTAGACCATGGATGTATTATAATAACTGGATAGGGTATTACTAGCTTGTAGCTGAATAACTCACGTGCTCAGGGGATTCTCGCGGTACTGCAGACTGAACCAGACTAAATTCACGTGGGCTACCCAGAAATTTTCCCCATAGAACTCAATGCATATTAAAACAGCTCAACCTCAGCTGACAGAGAACCTACAGCTTTAATAAAGATCGGATTTTGTGGGGATTTTAGTGTCCCTTGTCATCCTGAACTTTTTTTCTTCTTAAATCCTTCGGTTTTGTTTAAATCCACACTTTAGTGCCACAAACTCTGCTCCTCTGGCTCTCGCTCTAACTCCCGCTCTGATGAACTGCTCTGATTGGTCAGAGCGCGGCCGAGCCCCTCTGTGCACGTGCGTGAGACCTGGTGTGAGACCCACACACGCGTGTTTGATGCAACGCATTATGGGAGATCATCCACTGCGCAGAACCGGGAGGACTAGACGATGCCCAAATACAGGCGAGTTTCCCATAGATCTTTGCGAGTTTCAGGCAACTTCCGCTAATCTTTCAGCCCCCATGCCGTCACAAAGCGCCACTGAGCACAACCATTCATTTGAATAGGGCGCCATCTTGGATCGCCGGGGCTTGGACTAGACCCAGACGTTACATGCAGTGAAATGATGATTGAAAGGAGTGTAGGGATGGCTAAGACCAGGCTACAAAAACGTGTTTTCAGGGTAAAAGTATAACATGTGCCGCTTACTCTGTTCTTACAGCAATTTAAAAGCCTGTTATAGTCAGCGAGTGTATAAAAGTGGACTGACCAAGTGCTGACGTCACTCTTAGTGCTGGCCGAATGTGGAAGAAGCCGCTGTAAACACTGGAGCATTGAGAAGCATCAGTACAATAAGGCTTTTCGAGGGACAGAGCCTTCTCAGCCTTCAGCCACGTTCAGACCGGATCATGCGTTGCGTCGACTTTCAATGCAAAGTCAATTGCGCGTTCGAGTGCGGAACTGCATGTGTGTCTGGAGATGCACGCACGGACTACGTGGTAGAGACGCACGGACTGCGCGTCAAAGGCGCGGCAAAAGACGCACACAGGAGATAAATATTGCTGAGCGTTTCCTCGGGATGCGTGTGCAGCGACCAATCAGAGAGCCGTAAAGTGGCCACATTAGTGGTCTGAGCGAGCAGACTATACTGTAAACAGCCAAAACAGGAACTGTACCAGGACTAAACCAAGGTTGACAATGGGGGACTTTGTGTTTGTAAACATATGCGCTCTTGTGCTCCCGTGACTGTACCTATACAACTGGAAGGTCTCTGGGCACAGAGACGCTGCAGAGCTGCATTATTGGAGAAGAACTTTACACAAAAAGCCGCTATCTTTTAGCCTGGCTCTGCCAGACCCTTGTAGTTCCGCCATGCTCCACCAGAGGCGTTTGGCTGAACCACATGGGTCTGGTATCAACGCCATAGCGAACGCCTTCCCCAGATTATTTTTTAATCGACCAATCAGGATTGCCGGTGTTACGTGGGGTTTGCACTGCCTTCTCAAGCTTCTCTCATGCAGCAGCGAGAGGAATCCAAGATGGCGGACGTAAAGTCCACGAATCTTTTTAAAAGAGTAAATACGATCGAATTAAGACACGGATGTCACTTTTAATGCAATTTGAGGCGAGATGTTGATGGTTCTATGTTGACATATGTGTGTTTTAAGAGTCAAATGTTCCTGTAAAGTTTGGTTGAAGCACTGGTTCAGTGTTCCTGTTTACACACTATGCAGCAGGGTTGCCAGGTTTGGTGGTTCCCGCATATTTTTTCCAAGAGACTTGTAGGTATTAAATAAACAAAAAGACAATAAACAGAATCATGATAGCCCAAGTTGATTATATTACGTTTTTAGCCAAAAAATCATACTGAGTGTTATTTTTTGTGTGTGGGTATTCTCGTGACTTTTGGGTTGGAAAATCTTGTTGGGATTTGGCAACCTATGGGAGCTGTGTGCTTCGATGTGAGTGGTTGAAAGCAGACTTCATTCAAGATAACGGACAAGTTGTCTATCCAATCACATACAAGGATTTTTTTTACAAGGCCCTGCCTTCTGAAATCCAACCACTATGGCTCAGTACCAGACTCATGTGTGAAGTGCAGCGAACTACATGGGTCTGGCGAGAGTCAGGCTAGCTATCTTTACTCCGTTAGCATCAAAGTCCGCCAGCTACTTCTGCCACACCCCTGCCTTTTAAAATTAGAGAATATGCGTCTGGTGCGCTAGGCGTCAGCGTTCCAGTGTCGGCAGTCTAAACCCGGAGGGACAGGCCTTTTTGTGGTCTTAAACCCGGGGGACAGGGTCTTCAAAGGTCCACAAAGGCTAAACTTGGCTGGTCCAAAAAAATAAAAAATAGCCCCCTCAGCATTGACCCGCATCTGGAATGTAGCATTGAGCAAAGAGCCGACTAATTTAGACCAGGCTGTAGAGCCGTTTTCTAGAGAAAAGGTGTCATTAGAATGCGTTGGATAATTCTTTTTCCGGGTATGCTACCACTGACAAGGAGTCAGATGACAGGCGTGTCAGCCAGCCCCCTCTGGTCAAAACAGCTCTCTCATTAGTGTTTTTTTTTTTTGACCCACTGACCCATGACTTTGCTTGATTATTCATTTTTATTACTTTAGTGTCGTATTTTGGTGCAGAACTTTTCTTTTTGTTTATAATATGCTCTATAGATAAAGAAGATTGGATTGTATTGAACCCTGCTATGTCCCAATAATTTATGTAAATATTGTGCAGGCCTTGTTCACACAGAAGGGGTTGCAGCCTTCCAAGATTGAGTTAACCATGGCCAAGTAGCCAGATTAACGTGGATTAAGGGGCTTTTTAAATAGTCACGTTATCCCAGCAGGCAGCGCTTGCACAGTCAGCTCGCCTTGCAACAACATTCTTTCTGCTCGTATCGAAATGTTTTCTTTAGTGTGGAATAAAGTATGAACTGAGATGAGTGAGCACATTTTCACACATTCCTATTGGACTGTACGGAGCTGGGTGTCTTGAACTAACTGGTCAAAGAGTTAATCCCGTGTCACCCAAATTGTGACGCCATTTTTAGGGACATGATTAGGGATTTGATTACAAGCATTCTTACAATGTCTATATTTTACAGTGTTTTATTGTGTTTGACATGCAAAAATAACATTGTATAGTTGTTCATTTTGAAGGAAAAATCACTATCTAATCTCATAAATGATGCAAATTAAATAATTATAGAACAAAGCATATATTTTTGTTGATATCAATTTTGTTGCATGGGTTGAAATGAACAATTATTCTGATGATCAATTAGTTGACCAATTATTTAGTTCTTAAATTTTATTTTATTTCGACCATGTCAGTTTTGTGGGGAAAAAATTGCTCATTGTTCTAAACTTTATCAATGAAACAGATTATTTCTCAGAGTGTGCAATTTATCAATTCATTTCTTTCAGCCATACTGCATTTACATAAAAATGGTATGATTTGCAACATAATGCTATGACTTCAATTGATTGTTTTGTATTGTGTTTTGATTTATCCTCACAATAATCCCACAAGCTTTTTGTTGTTCTTGTACTCCATGCAGTTTCTTCTACCACTAAAATAATGCACTCTAGGCCCTGCTGTGCAAAGGCGACCCCACTTCCAGGCTCTGGCGCAGCAGCCCTGAGCTCTCTAACTTAGTCACTTACGTACTGTTGCTGTTCTGCTAATCTACCTCATATAGACCTGTGTTGTTAATATCCTGCTAACTTCTGAATTTTAAACTCTCTATTATCACGGTGAGGCTCTAAATGATTGCATCTTGATTCACGCTTTACACAAAAAATACTTAGATCTAACATTTTACAATTAAACAAGCATTCCCTCTTGATAATGTTACTGCACCAGAACGTACAAGGACCATGGATAAACTTTTCATCATAGGGCACTCCTAATAGCAGTACAATATTTAGTCTTTAAACAACAAAAACAGCTGAAAAGTACATGTTTCATGTTACCTCACCTGACTTTGCAGTGCAGAGAGCTGTGATATGCACAAGCATATCAGCATGAACAAGCAGCCCTGGTAATATACCAAAATAGTGCATAAAAGTGAATCTCCTTTTCCATTAAAGGGATCACTCAAAACCAACATGTTGTCACTATTGACCATGTTACAGCTGTGCTCCCATGTGATTTTCCCACATTTGAAGTGGTTTGAGTCATGTATTTTATTTTGTGCCCGAAACGCTCCCGTCCAGTTTTTGCTTGTCTGCTTCACGTCGTTTGGCAATGGGAGATATGCGGATGAAGTGCTATTATTGCCCAGAAATTTTTGCTTGAATAGACAAATATCAGCGGAATAGGATTAGGAAGAAAACGTGAAGCAGTGCCCGGTATTGTCTCTTTCAGACAATCTTTATTATTATCAAAATACATATAGCAGGCAGAAGCATGTCTTTTATAAACAATATTGTATCTAAAAGTTTCTGTGTTTAAAAGGACCATTATGTGTTTATCCTTGTTACAGCAGTATTCCTTTGTCATTCCCAAAATGTGTTTTCTGCTGATTCTAACTGAAGTAATCCCTTAATGTCCGGCATTGAAGACTTAAAGAGAGAAAAAAAAATCACCTACCACTTATCTGCGCCCATTTCGCTGTACCTTAAAGGCTACATGTTGTGTTTAAAAACATGCTAACGTATATGAGGTTGTACATACAGTAGATCTACAAGTGAAAATACTTGGACACAGGAGCTCACACACAATGTAACATTTGGCCAAGTTGTTGAAAGGCCAGAGCAAACATATCTGTCTTCTACGCCTCATTAAGGATGCAAAGTGTGGCCCTCTGCTTGTTGTATTTTATCTACTGAATAATAGGGTCACTTTTCTGTCAGAACCTCACTTCGACATCTCAATCTGGACTTCCCAATCCACTGGACTTCGGTCTGTTAAAGATGATTTATCAATGACAAACTAAATAAGAATCAATCCTATTAATGAGTATAACTAATAATGTGTTATGATTTCCATTTATTTATTTTTTGCTGACATAGATTGAAAGGAATAAGAAGATACTAGAAGTTTCACTTTTCTCACTGACTAAACTATATGGCCGACATTTGATATCAACACCCAAGACGTCTGAGCAGTGTATTTCTCAATAAGAAATCACAAATAAAGCATTTAGTCTGGTTGTTTAAATCAGCGTGACATTGTAGCTGTGAGAAATTAGACTCCTCTGACTAAATTGTGAAAGTGACCAGTGGTTGTCTCTTGTGTGCAGCGTGACAGGCGACGGAGCAATGAGAGCCAAGTGTTGCGCTCCTCTGGTTACCCTCCTGTGAAGTCCAGTGTGCGCGACCACGGAGCCGCCACCATGTTCTACGGCTCCTCTTCAGGGGCCAGCATGTCCCTGCCTTCTAAGAGCCGTCTCAAGAGACAGAGCCGGACCTTCACGCAGGTATACTAGCTCTAATGCAGTTAACGTCCCGCTCAATCACATCAAGTCCATGGGCCACTCTGCTCGCAGCTACATGTGCTCCTTTTCAGAGCCCTGGATGATGTTATGATTTTTAATGCTTATACAAACGGGTGACACCTTGCCCTTGGGTTAAGGTCATGTGATGGGGTGGTAAAAAGGAAGCTGAAACATGGAAGAGAATGGTGGTTTAGACATTTAACCCTAATTATTTTTTACATTACATAATCTATACCAAGAAAGAATGCTACGTTCTCCCTGCATGGGCGGTTATCCCTCTCTCAGCTTGGGTCCTCTATCAGAGGCCAGGCCACATTTTTATTAGGTCCAGTTAATAGCTAGATTACTTTTTTTAACTCACAAATATTTCCTAAGTTACCTTGAATATTGAATATATTTACTATATGAATACTGTAAATTTGTGTTCATGTTCCACATAAAAAGAAGGGAGTTCACATGTACGCTCATGCTTGTGTGTAATTTCATGCCCTTTGCTTAAACAGGTGCTGTACCGTACTCTGAGTTACCGGGACCGTGTGCCGACAGAGGTGGGCACTAACACCAGGGACAGAGACCGACGCTCCAATGATGACATTCCTGAGAGACCCCCTGATGACCCTGCAGAGCTGTCCACTCAGAGCTCTGCCCCCGGAGTGCTCAAGATCTTTGGGGATGAGATCTGTGCAGGGGCAAACTACAAGAGCGTGCTGGCCACGCCCCGCTCCAGCGCACAGGAGTTAGTCAAAGAAGCGCTGGAACGATACTCCCTCAACAAGGACGCAGCACACTGCTACGTGCTATGTGATGTCATCGGCCGTCTGGAGGTGGGAGGGGGTGTGGGAGAGGTCAGCTGGAGGACAGAGTGTTTACGGGCCCTGGGGGACAACGAAAAGCCGCTACTGCTGCAGGAGCTGTGGAAGCCCCGAGAGGGACACGCCCGCCGCTTTGAGCTCCGGAGGAGGGCTGAGGTGGAGGAGCTCAACGCTAAGGACAAGGACACCATCACTGCAGGTGACTCATAAGCACATATGTATGACACACAATGATGAACATGTGCCTCTGCAGCGTTTATCAGTGACACACACTCAGCTAGTAGTCTTGTAGTACTCTTCTAGTACTCTTGTAGTACTTATGGAGTACAGCAGGTGCACAGGTGGAGCAGTAGTTTGCAAACACAGGTGAGAGTGGTGTAATGGTGCAGCTTTTACCACATCCTGACGCAGTAGCTCATTCTATTCACTTGGATCAATAAACAATGGGAGCAGCAGCATCCATTGGAAATTGACTCTTTATGTCATATTTTTGCAAGTAGAATAAGTGTTTTATTTTGTTATTTTTTAATAACAGTTTAAAACATGTTTTTTTTCCTTTTTTTTTTTAACAATGCAAACAACAGTTAACAGTTTTGTTTCTTTAACCAATAATGCACTGATCCAGTTCTCTTCGTTCTGGAGAAGAATCCTTTTTAATACAGATATTTCTTCCCCTATACAAAAGAAAGCAATTGTTTTAGTGGTTTCTCCGTTGGCCTGGATCAGTGCGTCCTTTCTCCTATTAGTGACACTTGGCTTATGTATAGTGTTGGTCCTATACATGTCTTGATTTCCAGAGAAGTCCAGCTCTACTTTCTCTCGGTCTTGTCACTAACACTTTGATTGCTGTGTTGCAGTTTCTGATCTCTTTTGCTTATAGGTTCTCTTCTTCCGCTTGTGTGAGCGTCCATGGGGAATTTGAAAGGTTTTACAGGATTTTCTATCAACACACACATCCAAAAGGATTTCTAAAGTTTTCATTTGAGAATTAATCTTTACACCAATTGATTTGATGCCATACCAGTGTGGCATTGATAGAAAATCCTGTATCAAACTTAACTTTATTACAACTATTGTTTTAAAGCACCTCCTGTTGTCCACTGCAAAAATAAATATTTAAGGTTGTAAAAATGACTGGAATTCTCTGAACGAATTTACATATGTAAACAGCATATGATGTTTAGTTTAATATCCCATAATTAATGTTGCAACGCTCAATTCAAAAACAATAGCAGCTGCAGAGGTCACTGCTCTGAAGGCCAGGAACCGGTAGTCCTCTGAACTAATCACTGCGTTGCACACAGGCCACACTTTAAATACTGTCAAGGAAATGTTATACAAGCGGCTATGTGATATTGTAAATAATAGGCTGAAAAAATTGCACTCACAAAAATCCACAGCGAGTCCACGAAAGTTGAACCGTGTTACCACAAATTACTGTATTTGTGAAGCTTTTGTGCAATGGCAGTATTTTATGTCATTTAGAGACAATAACTGACATTTCTACACTGAAAATAAATGCAGAATTGTCTTTGCACAATTCATACACAAGGCAACCCTATGTACAAAATCACTGTAAACATTTCAACATTTTGTACAGCTAAATAGTAATAATTCTCCTAGAGTTGAACATTGGGTAGAATCTTGTTAAAACTGTGTAACTCGCCTAAAACCGTATAACTCGCCTAGTCCAATTTAATTAAACAAGTGTGTCGCGATTGAATATGAAATAAGGGTACAGGGTTTAACCTTTTCTACTCCAGTTACGAGACTTTATCCACATAGTTCTACAGGTAAATGCAAGTTCTGAGTGCGTAACCACAGTAGCTGACTACTTTGGGATTTTGAGACTTTTTTGAAAAAGTGGGTCCCGGGACAGACAGGGCAGGGCTTAGCATGAAAATGGTAAATGTAACAACGTAAACCAGAGACTACTGAGACAAGACCTCCAGAGAAGAAGTAACACATCAGGAGAATCCCAGTCATTTTGTGAACTGCTATTTAACTTTGCAGACGCACACAGTGCATGCATGTCCCCCTCCCTGTGGCGTGTCTCTGAGCCCCCTGTCCCCCCTGTGCCCCTGTGCAGCTTTAGGCAGGGCCCCTCACTTCCTGGCGGCTCTAATGGGTCGCTCCGGGCTGGGCAAACTCAGGAGCTCCCCCCTGCGCTCCGGCCGAGTGCCACAGTCCGGCTCCAAAGGTGGGGACTCTTCTCAGGTAGGGGGGGGCTGTCTGTCATCAACCATGGATACACCACCTCTACCTGTGTCGTCCACGGCAACACTGCCATCTCTCTGTGATGAGTGTGTATGCGCTGTAGGGGTGGGATTTTCAGAAACCATCTTGATCCATAGAAAATATGTGTTTTGAGAACAACATGACGGAACAGGCTGTGTGTACGTTTCTTGATCGAGTGATTGTGTCTTATAATATACAAGAAAATTATTGCATGTATTTGCAACAACAATAGACATGAGAAGCAGGGATGTCTTGATCAAGATTTTTTGCCTCCTATCCTGATCATAGACTGTATATATTAACGGACAGAGCCACGCCTATCTCCGCCGTTCTAACTAATGGGCCAAAAAAATGTGCTCTACTGGAGCTATCCAAAATGGCCGCGAGTGGTCCGGCCCACAAGAAAATTGTGAAAAAACGCATCTGCGCATGCGTCAGCCGGCGCAGCTCCCTTCATTTGAACGAGAGACTTCAGAAATTCACAGCAAGTAAACTAGAGTGGACAAAAAAAATTCACCCCCCTCAGCATTGACACACATGTGGAACGGAGTGTCACTCCCGTATTCGTCCCGGAAACCGGATTCGTCCGGAAGTCCAGTTTGATCCAATGAGCATACGCAGCAATAGATTACGTCACGGAATCTGGACGGAAGCGGAAGTAAATATAACAAACTATCTGTTCATGCCTAAACTTAACCAGCCATTCCCATAAAATAACCCCAACCCAGCCTTAACCCTAACCTTAACCATCTTAATCAGACGCCTAAAACTTAACCAATCACCACTTAAGGACATATTACACTTTTTGACATGCGCAAACTGAACTTCCGGACAAATCCGGTTTCCGGGACGAATACGGGAGTGACACGGAGCTTTGGGCCAAGAGCCAACTTTTGGACCATCCTGTGAAGACGTTTTTGAGAGGTCTGCCAATGCTATATGTTAGCATTAGCTAATTCTTCTTCTGGGTTCACCCCCATCGGCCCGGGGTGGTATTGCAAGCATGTCAGCGCACGTCATTTTGGCCACTTTTGAGCTGAGACCCGCCCCCACTGATCCGATTGTTAAACTTCAAATCGGATCCGATATTGAGTCTTGATCCAATACTTTTTATCATTGGTATTGTAAATGATAAAACTAAATTTTTTAACAACCTAACAAGAAATTGTCTCATCAAATTATTTTTTTTAAGTGCTATCATTTATGTTTAATGGTGAAATTGTCATTATTATTAAAAGTTATGCAGTGTTTGCTATGCACTTAAAGGAGCTATACCCATGGAGCCATCTAGTTTTATTTGAGATCTGATACATATGCAAACATTAGCATTAGCCCAACAAAAGCAATGCACTGCTAACAAAATATATAACTTACAGATTACCGCTAGTTTTGCGTCCAAATGAAGTACGAGCATAGATAGTCCGAGGCGGCCCTGCAGGTCTCTCCCATAGACTGTAAGTCTCTCCAGAGGATAGGATGTAAGCTAGCTATGTTCACCCGGGCATGCTTTCTTCTTTGATCATTTTTTTGCTTTAGTTCCCTCTTCTCTTCCTCACTGTTGCACTGGGCTGTGTTGCTGTGTATGCAGTCACAGCCACAGCAGGTATGGGCACTTTCTGCCTCCATTCTGCTTTTGTTTACCTGCGCTGTAGGGCTACTCAGCACTTTTATACGGTCTGAATTTATACACAAGCTGAATCAATGAGCTCAAGTTTTCAATTAAATTACTGATTATAATACAACTTGTATGTAGTAATACGCATTTTTTTGAACTCATAAATCGGGTATAGCTTCTTTAAGTACAGGGGCTGCAATGATTACATTTTTCCAATAGGTGTCAGTGTTACAAGCTAGTATGAGCTCAGAGGCTCCGACACATTTGAAACAATCTGGCAAAGAAAGCCTTGGTGTGTTACGGGGCTTCATCTGCCCAACACTACCGAATTGCAGTATAACCACATTTAGTCACATATAGGGCTGCAACAACGAATCAATAAAATTGATCAAATCGATTATTGAAAGTGTTGGGAAAGCATTTCATTATCGATTCGTAGTGTTGCGAGATTGATACGTCACCCACTACGTTGCGGAGCTCACGTGAGTTGGGCGCATTCTTGTACAGCTGTGTTCAGACCGCCGATGCATGCACGTGCGTGAACGGAGACATGGACACACTTTCACTAAATATCAGCTGCATGAGCTGAACTGCTGCTGTACTTTCCTGACTTTGCATTGAAACTTGTCGCAACGCATGATCTGGTCACACACAGGTTGAGAGTGTATATACTCAGACATACATGTCTGTGAGTGTGCGTCTGTGTCTGACAGTGCCACGCTTTATCATTTATTATGAATTTATTGTTCTGACTAGTCGGGTCCCTTTTAAACAACAAAGAATACCTCTTTTTGTGCACTTTACTTAAAAAAAAAAAGAAAAATATTTGGCAGATACTGCATAGTATACATTTGTATGTTTTTTGTGTTGGTCCACGGCCACGTTTTTGAATAAAGGGATGGAAATTCAAAATGTAAAAAAAAAAAAAAATCTTATCCGATTAATTTTATCCATCCATCCATTTTCTTCCGCTTTATCCGTTGCCGGGTCGCGGGGGCAGCAGTCTAAGCAGAGACGCCCAGACTTCCCTATCCACACACACTTCCTCCAGCTCGTCCGGGGGGACCCCAAGGCGTTCCCAGGCCAGCTGAGAGACATAGTCCCTCCAGCGTGTCCTAGGTCTTCCGCGGGGCCTCCTCCCGGTGGGACGTGCCCGGAACACCTCCCCAGGGAGGCGTCCAGGAGGCATCCGGAACAGATGCCCGAGCCACCTCAACTGGTTCCTCTCAACGTGGAGAAGCAGCGGCTCTACTCCGAGCTCCTCCCGTGTGACTGAGCTCCTCACCCTATCTCTGAGGGAGCGCCCAGCCACTCTGCGGAGGAAGCTCATTTCGACAGCTTGTATCCGCGATCTCGTTCTTTCGGTCATTACCCAAAGCTCATGACCATAGGTGAGGGAGGGAACGAAGATTGACCGGTAAATCGAGAGCTTTGCCTTTCGGCTCAGCTCCCTCTTTACCACAACGGTCCGATACAGAGACCGCATCACTGCGCACGCTGCACCGATCCGCCTGTCAATCTCACGCTCCATTCTTCCCTCACTTGTGAACAAGACCCCGAGATACTTGAACTCCTCCACTTGAGGAAGGACCTCTCCACCCACCTGCAGAGGGCAAGGCACCTTTTTCCGGTCGAGCACCATGGCCTCGGATTTGGAGGTGCTGATTCTCATCCCAGCCGCTTCACACTCAGCTGCAAACCGCTCCAGTGCATGCTGCAGGTCCTGGTTCGTTGGAGCCAACAGGACAACATCGTCCGCAAACAGCAGAGATAAAATCCTGTGGTCTCCGAACCGGACCCCCTCCAACCCCTGGCTGCGCCTAGATATTTTGTCCATAAATACAGTGAACAGAACCGGTGACAAAGGGCAGCCCTGTCGGAGGCCAACATTCACCGGGAACAGGTCTGACTTACTGCCGGCAATGCGAACACAGCTCTGGCTCCGTTCATACAGGGATCGGATGGCCCTCAGCAGAGGACCCCCGACCCCGTACTCCCGGAGAACCCCCCAAAGGACACCCCGGGGAACACAGTCGAACGCCTTCTCCAAATCCACAAAGCACATGTGGGCAGGTTGGGCGAACTCCCATGAACCCTCGAGTATCTGATGGAGAGTATAGAGCTGGTCCAGTGTTCCGCGACCGGGACGAAAACCACACTGCTCCTCCTGGATCCGAGATTCGACCATCGGCCGTTACCTCCTCTCCAGTACCTTGGAGTAGACCTTACCGGGGAGGCTGAGGAGTGTGATCCCACGATAATTGGAACACACCCTCCGGTCCCCCTTCTTGTAGAGAGGGACCACCACCCCAGTCTGCCACTCCATTGGCACTGCCCCCGATCGCCACGCGATGTTGCAGAGACGTGTCCGCCAAGACAGTCCTACAACATCCAGAGACTTTAGATAATCAGGGCGGATCTCATCCACACCCGGAGCCTTGCCACCATGGAGGCTACCAACCACCTTGGTGACCTAAGCCAGGGAGATGGATGTATCCGCCCCAACATCCTCAGCCTCTGCCTCTGTAACAGAGGACGTGACAGGGGGATTGAGGAGAACCTCAAAGTATTCCTTCCACCGCCCGACAATATCCCCAGTCGAGGTCAGCAGCTCTCCACCCGCACCGTACATGGTGTTGGCAAAGAACTGCTTCCCCCTCCTGAGGCGCCGGATGGTGTGCCAGAATCTCTTCGAGGCCGACCGATAGTCATGCTCCATGAACTCTCCGAACTCCTCCCAGTCCCGGGTTTTTGCCTCTGCAACAGCCCGGGCCGCGGCACGCTTGGCCTGCCAGTACTGGACCAGCACCAGAGACCTCGCGACCACAGCTACGAGCCGCTGCATCGGCGATTGAGGCAGAGAACATGGTCCACTCGGACTCCATGTCCCCCTCCTCCGCCGGGACCTGGGAGAAACTCTCCCGGAGGTGTGAGTTGAAAGTCCGTCTGACAGGGGACTCAGTGAGACGTTCCCAGCAGACCCTCACTATACGCTTGGGTCTGCCAGGTCTGACCGGCTTCTTCCCCTGCCAGCGGATCCAACTCACAACCAGGTGATGATCGGTTGACAGCTCCGCCCCTCTCTTTACCCGAGTGTCCGAGACACGCGGTCGAAGGTCAGATTATACGACAACAAAGTCGATCATCGACCTCCGGCCTAGGGTGTCCTGGTGCCACATGCACTGGTGGACACCCTTGTGCTCGAACATGGTGTTCGTGATGGACAAACTGTGACTGGCACAGAAGTCCAACAACTGAACACCGCTCGGGTTCAGATCAGGGGGGCCGTTCTTCCCGATCACCCCTCTCCAAGTGTCACTGGCGTTTCCCACATGGGCGTTGAAGTCCCCCAGGAGAATAAAGCTCACCGCACACCGAAACGCAGCGCCTCGCGGCGCGTCATTTGACGCGCGTTCATGACATGTGTCAAATTACACCGGAACGCCTTGGCTAGCGTCCTTTTCCAGCTGATATAGCCAATATAGCCAATAAAAATAGCTACAATTACCTATTGTTAGCTTACCTGTACATTCAATTTCAAGTGAAATTGAATGTCCAGGCAATTTCCTTTCGCACGATATCCTTATAAAAAGGATTTTGTGGGTTAAATAGCTCTGGGTAACGCTGTACTTGGGTTATCAAGCTTTCCTCGTCCATTGTGACCGGTTTACTTGAGCAATAGCGCCGACAAGTGTGTAAATTTGAGACCGCGCTCACAGCTACGCGATAAGAAGCGCAGAAGAAGAAAACTACGGGTGCTTGGAGGGACAGTTTCAGCCGCGGCGCCGCGTCTGGATTCAACAAAACTGAATCGTGGCGCCCGGTCCAGCGTCGCCGCGCGTCACTGCAACCTTGGTGTGCGTTCTCTCATAGAAAATAAAGGAGGCGGCTCTTTTGCCGCGCGTCAAGGCGTTTCGGTGTGCGTTGGGCTTAACGGAGTCCCCGGGCGGTGCACCGTCCAGTACCCCTCCCAAGGACTCCAAGAAGGCCGGGTACTCTGCACTGCCGTTAGGCCCGTAGGCCGTCACAACAATGAGAGACTTGTCCCCCACCCGGAGGCGGAGGGACGCGACCCTCTCATTCACCGGGGAGAACTCCAACACGTGGCGGCTGAGATGGGGGGCAATGAGAATGGCCACCCCAGCTCGCCGCCTCTCCCCGCGGGAAACTCCAGAAAAGTGGAGCGTCCAACCCCTCTCAAGGAGTTGGGTTCCAGAGCCCAAGCTGTGTGTGGAGGTGAGGCCGACTATCTCTAGTCGGTATCGCTCAACCTCCCCCACGAGCTCGGGCTCCTTCCCCCCCAGTGAGGTGACGTTCCACGGACCCCTCTGCAGGTGGTGGGCCCACAGGAGGGACTGCCCACGTCATCCCTTCGGGCTGAGCCCGGCCGGGCCCCGTGGGCTAAGGCCCGGCCACCAGGCTCTCACATACAAGCCCCGACCCCAGGCCTGGCTCCAGGGTGGGGCCCCGGCTGCGCCATGCCGGGCGACGTCACTGTTTTCATATATCCGATTAATTGATTATTAAAATAATCGTTAGTTGCAGCCCAAGTCACAATAACCAAATTATACGCCGTATGCTCCCTTTCGTTTAGTCCTCAAATGCCGAATCAGATTTGTCGTGTTGAATGTTGCTCTGCTGCTCCCACCTCTCCCAATCAACATGTTGCATACTTTGCATGTTGCTTTTGTGCTGCCCTTGATTACTAATGACAAATACTGCCACACCTTTAACTTGTTTTAACTAGTAGCCACATAAACACTACTCTGAAAATGTAAAACTGAGTTTTAAATTATTGAGTGCGCAGTTCCTGTAAGTATCAGAATAGTTACTGTAATCTGCTACTTCGCAACAACTGCTGTAGATCTGGCAAGTCGTCAGGAAGATAAGCCAATCCCTGATCAGTTAAAAACCATGAAATATCTCAAGACTGGATCGTGACATCCCTAATGAGAAGGTGGACTCTAATTGTTTTATACTAACTTCATATTAAATGGTTTAACTTAACTTACTAACTGTTTTATTTTGGAGTTCAGTTCAGACATTGGACACTGATTCACTACAAGTGAAGCTCAGAAAATTAGAATATTTAATTAAATTAAATTACTTCTTGTATAGCCCTAAATCACAACAGTAATTATCACATAGGTATGGGTCCATAGGGGGAGTTGACCAATGTCCATGAATTTTGAGATATGTCCATAAATGTTGGAGAATGTTAGATGCCATATATATAGTATATATTTCATTTATTTATGGAATTTGACATCGAGCCTTCATTGTTATTATTAGTATGAAAAACATTTTTGAGATGTTTTCTTTGGGTTTTTACCATAGTCTGTAAAAATTACCGGACGTAGTGACTCGTATCTCCGCATGCTCTAGCTTGCATGAGCCCCATTTCTTTATCGATTGCATTCAATAGTCCACGGCTAAACTAGGCTGGTCCAAAAAAAAAAAACTCCCTTCAGCATTGACACGCATATGGAACGTAGCGTTGAGCCAAGAGCCAACTTTTGGACCAGGCTGTAAAGCTGTTTTCGAGACAATAAAAGGTAGGATGTATTTGTTGGATAATTCTGTTTGCAAATACGCTACCACTGGCAAGGAGTCAGACTGCAAGCATGTCAGTGCACTTGCCCCAGGACCAATTGGGGACCCGCCCCAATTGGTTTTTACAAGCTGTGAGCCACTTATACCCATTATAACTACTAAAGGCTTATATCTAAATTTGCGTGCAATAAATCCGTCATATATATTTGTTACACATTGTAATTTGAATTAGTAAGTAATTGGATTTGCAGCAATATTTTACTTTTTTAGTTTCAGCTGTATGATTCCCCTTTGTTTCGTATAGTTTTCATAGCTTTTTTTCAAAAGGTGAAACTTAATTAAATCCATTTTTGTCCAAGCCAAAAACAAGATCTTCTGGCACTGGAACTTTCCTTGAGTACCATTGTGTGTAAATATTGGCACTATGCATACATTCCAGTACTGTTAATCTAGCAATTGCAGTTTTGGTCATATTTGTGCAGTGCCCTTCTTTCACTACAATATACAGTAATGTTCACTTATAATGTGCTTCATCCTGTCTCTTTTTAATGAGCCGGTAATCTTATCAAAATTATTATATGCCATTTTTCCCTTCTAAAGACAGTAAATACAAAATATGTTTTCTTAGCACTAAAAATGGAATTGTGCATTTTTAGCTTTAGATCTAGTTACGTAGACTGATTGTTTTAAGTCTTTGTAAAGTCCTGGAACATCAATTTACAGGTGAAACAATAGAATATTGTTTATTTGATTTATGTATTTCCACTTAATATGTGAAATTTATATATGATATAGACAATTGTACGTTTTAATTGTATGATTTGTTTTAAGTTTTTAAGTGTAATTCAGGTTAAATTACGAAATTATGTATTATAGTTACAACAAATTCTATATTTAACAATATTCATTTAGTGACATAATGTGAGAGCAGCCCACCCCTGTGAGCCCTGCATGGCCCCTTGTTTCAGCTGCCTGTGGACTCACTCTCATTCACTCCAAATGTGTCCTTCATCCTCCCCCACATGCTCTTTGATTTTGGTTCATATTGTTGAATGTGTCACCTGTCTGTTTTGGGGTATGTCTTTGCTCTCCTGATCGTACACTGCAAAATAAGATATCTGCATGTGATCAAAAATATTTTTTTTATTATGACTACAAAAAGGTCAAACATCTGGCCATGTTGACATATGAAGAAAGCAGTCTGTATAATAATTGTTATTATTAGAAGCTTTGATGTCCCTGCAGATTGGGTTATGGCATTTGAACTTAAAGTTGTACCGAGCCAAAGCAATTTCCAAGTCTGTGACCTCCTGTTACTTACGTGACAATAAAAATGATTCTGATTCTGATTCTGAAGTTGGGCTACCTAATTTTAAACCAACAAAACATGGAACTGAGTGTGTTCACAGTTAAGTGTCAATTGAAGTATCTCAACTTTAAAAGGTTATAACTTAAAAACTAAAATTACTATCATAGATTGGAAAAAAGATTTCAAACACAGACACATCAAAGAGATAGTGTGGAAAAAATCAAAAGGAAAGATTGTCAAATATATTTTTGGTGACATTTTAAACGACAAAATCAGCCTCTTTTTTGACCATTCTACTGTGACGCCAGTTACATAGAAAATAAAATGTCCTCAGTCTGAAAAAGCGGCAGATGAAATCCCATAATATTTACATGGTTAACACAACATCAGGAAATCACTTGATATGAAAAGGAATCGTTAAAAAATAAAAAATAATTAATTAATTAAATGACCCTTGAAAAATGTATAACGGACGTGATGGTTTCCGTCCTCTTTTCTCTAAAATTTTAGCTTGAGAAAGAAACAAATCTTGTCTGGTTTCACATTTAATTGGTTGACTAAATGAAAGTATCACTTTGTTTCTACTCTGTGTAAAAAAAATAGAATCTCTGAATCAAATGTGGACATCTGTAAATACCTATCAAACTTCCGCAAAGCTCATTCCGTCAAATCATCACGTCCGTTAGATAAAATAAACAGGGCCGCATTAGGAAACTTGTCTAATGTATAAAACAGTTATGTTCTAGAAACTTCTAATGAACAGAGGAGGTGCTTGGAAACATGAAAAACATAAAATATCTTCTGATTATTAAAATCTAATTTTTGGCCTTTTGTCACACTTTTGTGCCCTTTAGTGTGAACACGCCCAACTATGAAATGACAATCCATCAAACTAGTTCCTGTATGTTAGGATTCTGTCACATCTTTAAATCAGATTTTTCAAAATAAAGAGGACCACCCTCACTCAGCAAATCACCTCTCAACCCAAAGCTGCAAATAGTGACTCACAGAAAATAACATGTTTTCTAGCGAGATAAAGACAACCTGTTCAAATGTTTCTTTTACAAGATTTTTTTCTTTTAGGACAATTAAAAGTTGGGTCCTATTAAATTACATATTTTCAAAATGACATGAATTAAGTTTGAAACACATGTATATTTGAACTACTGCTTTGGCTTTGAAAAAGTATTAACAATTCATTCCAAATCTTACAACCCATGCAGAGAAGTCACCTTTGCAGTGCACCCTCCCATCACCTGTCTTAACTCCCACCTCTTTTGCCCGTTCCCTGTCAGATATAAACGCCCAGGCCCGCAAGGTCCAGAGGAACAGAGCCAAAGGGACGCTGACCCTGCCCCGCTCCGGCACCTCATCCCTCTGCCGCAGCCTGAGCGAGACCAGCCTCAATCAGGTGAGTTCCAGCCTTCACACTGCGAAAGAGAAATGTGTGTAAGAAGTAGAAGAAGTGCCTTTTTTTAGCAGTTCATTGGAAATGGATACCGTGATCCTAAGCCCTTGCATGGGACCCAGTAATGGACAAAGCAAAAATGGATGAATGGAATGGGTTGTATTTTATTGTAACCAGCCAGCAGTATTTCAGTCTCAGTGGGCTTCATGCACTGGTTTGATTGTTTGTTATAAATTAGAAGACCTTTATGTAATGTAGTGAATTTAGAAAACAGCAAAACGAATAAGAGGTCACATCTGCATTGATGTCTGCATTTGCACTGAACGAATATGTGTGCGTGTGTGTGTGTGTGTGCGTGTGTGTGCGTTTGTATGCAGCTGGGAATGGGTGACGAGCCCAAGCGGTACTACTCCACACTGCCCGGGCCTCTACGATCCCGGGAGGTGTCGGCCGGACGCAGGAAAGAGGAGAGTAGCCATGGGGGAGGAGGGGTCCGCCACTCGCTCTACCAGTCTTCACATCTGCTGTTGCTTCAGGGATACAACCGGCAGGTAAGTGCTCAACCAGCCAAACCCTCTCCTATTATTTTGGACTCTTTACACAGTAATGCATCTGGTTTTGCATCAATATTAATGCATAAGTTAAAACAAAAATGAAAGCTTTTACTCTCCCTGGGACACAGTTGATAATCCATGAAGTAGAGAATCACCATATAATATTCACAGATAGTTTAAATTTATTTTTAATCTTTCACCTACATTGCTGTGTTGTACATGAGAAGTAGCATTATAGAGCATTACACAGCCACTGAATGTATGTCATGTGTAATAAAAGGTAAAGTAACAGTCTATTGTATGTGTGCGTCATTGTGTGTGTTGCAGGACTGCCTGGTCTACCTGCTGAACAGAGAGCAGCACACAGTCGGGCAGGAAACCCCGTCAGCTCGCCCCAACATCTGCCTTTTCTCCCCTGATATCATGCCTCTGCACTGTCGCTTGCGAAAGGTCCCTGCTTCCCGGCGTCAAGGCAACAGCACCAAGGGGGAGGAGCATGGGGAGCGCTTCAGCGTGGCCGTGGAGCCTGTGCTAAACGCCACAGTGCTGGTCAACTTCTCTCGCTGCGAGCGCTCCACCAACCTGCGCCACGGAGACCTGCTGTCCTTCGGGGCGCACTACATCTTTCTGTACAAGGACCCAACAGGAGCTAAGCCGCTGCCTGCACAGACACTAGCACGCTTGCGCTCCCTGGGACAGCTGTACGAGGTGGGGGCTGGGTCGGATGAGGGGGAGGGCCAGGTGTGTAAGATGTGTGGCTCTGCACTGAAAGACAGAGCAGGACAGGTGTCCACAGTGCCCGCGGTCAGGCGCACTTTTAAACCACACCTGGTGAAGCCACGCAGCATCAGCACAGCTGTGGGACTAGCTGTGGCCACGCCCCTCAGTGTGGGCGGGACGGGACCAGAGGGCGGCGGGGCCAGGGCAGTGGCCCAGAAGAGACGCTTACAGCTGGATTTTGAGCAGGGGCATGAAGACCAGCTCTTAAACAGGATCGTGTCTCTCATTGAACCAGGAGGTTTGTATTACATAAACACCTCAATGGATAGTGCTACAGAAATATACGCTCATATCAATTACCAGTATGGGTTAGGGTTAGGGTTAGGGTTTATTATTATTAATTATATGTACATGAGCTGTAATTATTAGCTTAGATAAAATACCTGAGGGCCTATAATGGGTTGTAATTTAATTATTCTGTCATTTCAAACATGACCCCCTGGAAGGTAATAATTTAGATTCTTCATGAGACTGCACACACTAATTTAGCCAGCTTAAATCATTGTATCTAGGCAACTGACCATCTCACATGATTCCAGTGTTCTATCTTAGAGGAGTGGGACACTCTTTTGTTATTGATTGAATGGACATGAATGTACATTTGGTACTGCTATAAGAGACATTATTGTTTTTTGTAGAATGGCCACGTATTGAGACCGTGTAGCAAGAACGTTGGTTAATTGTAGTTTGATTCTCCTCCACTTAGTATGTATGGGTTTGGTTGAAGAATATCTTGAGGCCTTTACATGTTCTGTGTCTGAGGACTGCTGTGGTCCAACCTGAGACCGTAACAGTCATGTTGATGTGATTTCAGGGGACGACCATAAGCTGACCACAGCCTACCTGCTGTGTCTGTGCATACAGCACTCTGCCTCCAGCTTCCCCCCTGGGAGCTTTGGGAAGCTGCTGCTCAAGATCGCGCGCAGAATTCAAACCATCTCCTGGGTTTGTCTTTCACCATCCCCTGACATCTTCTTTCCCCTTTCCCCACTCAAACTTGTATTTAGAGTTTCATGTTAATTTAAGTTGTAACAAAAACAATCACAGATATTTGGTGCATTACTTGTAACTGTCAAAACGTATTTATAATACTAGTGAAAGTATCACAAAATGTTTGTACTGGAACTTGAATCAAGCAATATAACTTTTACATATCACTTTAAGACGTAATTGCTCATTGGAGCAATCCCTTTACCTCACTGTAAAGTACTGTACACAGTACCAGATGGAGGAGTGCAGACAGAGCTTTCTATGGGCCCATTGAGGTCAAAGTTCTTTCCCGGCAGGGAGAAACTGAAGCAGCCAAGAAGTGGGCCCTGAATCTGCCAGTGATGCCACAGAGAATAAAAAGGTCTGAGCTGCAGGTTGATGCTGTGTCACAGCGCATTTAAGAGATGTTTTTCAAGTACACTGAGACGTATGCAGAGGGCTCTGCATTCTCTCTGTCTGCACAAACCATGCATGTTTGAACTGCCGGTCACTTTGTCAAGGGAAGTTCCTAAATAACATGGAGGGAGGGGGGCAGTGAAGAGCCAATGCTCACTTTCTCTGAGGATCAATCCTGAAAACCAATAACATCATAGTCTTAATTTAAGGCCAATATTACAATCTACGCAAATTCAGAAATGCCCTGTGCTTAGAAGAATGTGTCTGTGGCTCCTCATATAACTTTCTGTGCATGTTTCATTCACTGCAAGAGGAGACTGCTCCTTGTTTAGGTCACATGTTGGAGTGGTTTGCATGCTGAGCCTGGATATCACAAGTGCCTGATTCTGGGGTGAATTTGCACTGTGTATCCAAGGTACAGGTATTTTGGCACAAATGGGAAACGATGAATTCCCATTAAAGAGCAATAAAAGATGTTAAAAGATATCAGTTGTTTTCTGGTAATACGTTTTTTGTAATATCATATTGAGAAATAAATAAAAGTGATTATCTGATTCTATTAGAATCATAGAAACATATGAGTGTATTTGCATCAGAACAGACTGTGCAGTGGCTTTTTTGTGGTGCTTGGTGCACCAGGGTTAGATGAGCTCATGTGGAACCAGACAGTCCAGTCCAGTCCTATCCAGTTCAGTGAATAGTGAAGTGGATGGATCACATGTGCGGACTGTGTTACAGCAGTCTGTACCCCCCACTGTGAATAAAGAGTTACATATTATCACACACCAATCACACTAGGCGCCTTTGCACCTTGAACAGACTGACCTGCTGCCAGTCCTTTGTAAAAAAAGATACCGCTTTGTGCAGCCCAATTAATATCACGTTTTTTGTGTTTCTTATGAAATGCAGATACAAAAAATAAGTTGTCATGTGTAATAAATCTGGAGAGACAAGACAGACACATTAATCCATTTATAAAGATGTATTTGTTTGGCGCATTGACCCTGGCAGTGACAATTGCATAGGGGAGATCCTTTGCTGCTAAAGATTATCTCAGATCCCCGGGGTCAAGCACTGGTGGTGGCTAGAAGCATGGTGTGAATGTGGACTAGGCAGAGCAGGAGCTCAGGGAGGCGCTGGGGAGGCAGTGGGTGTCAAGAGCTTAAGGAAGCGCTGGTTAGTAGGAAGTGGCTGCTTTTAAACTGCCCGCTTTGCTGTGCGATTGGCTTGCCCTGGATGGAGTGAGAGCTGCAGCATGAGGTCGTCCCAGTCTGAATTTACGCTAAAGCTTCGTTACACATCAGTAATCAGTGCTTAGTAGCTACATGGTTCACAGGCAGGAAGATTCTGGCAGCTGTAACTGTAACTACTTTATTAGACCACTAAGAGTGCATATTCAGAATCAGAATCATTTTTATTGCCACGTAAGTAACAGGAGGTCACAGACTAGGAAATTGCTTTGGCTCAGTGCAACAGTCAAAAAGAGATAATAAAAATAAGAATAAAAAACACTTCTAAAGAATAAATTTAAATTTAAAATAGAGTTACAGTTACTATTTACAATATACAAGTGCACATGGTGCACACAATGTAAGGTGACAGCAGTACAGTGCATAATATGGTCCCTTTAAGTTTTTTGTGTGGCTTAAATGAACACAATTATAACATCTTCAAGCATGTGAACTTGAGAGAAAAAAATGAAACATGTTAGTCATGTTCTTTTGCCAAAATTGTGAGTTTAAAGCAGTACAAGCAATCCAAACTATAATGTGAGAGTACTTGGCTGCAACAGTTTATGGCACACATAAGAAATTCTCATCCCCACTGCCCCAAAACGCATGAAATAATGGCATTCAAAACGGTGTTAGTATTAGATAGCAATATGGCCTACGTGCAGGACTGTACAAGGACTCTACAATCATTAATCACTTTTAACAGATTCTAATTTAAATGTTTGAAAAACGGCTTTTGTAACTAAAAGAAAAAATACATGAAAAAATTCTCACTAACAGCTATGAAATATCAGATACAATAATGGACTCACAAAATAAGCAGCAGATTTAAAAAGAAAAGCAAAGCTTTTTGTACTAATCTTTGGGTTTCAAAAACATACTAATTCAAAACTTCTATTCCCTAATGGTGTTTAAAAACGTTTAACTGTGTCTAACACAATGTTCAAATGGCAAATTTAGCAAATTTAACGGAATAACTACTATGAAAAGCCAAATTCCTAAAGCAGTAGCTCCCCTTTAAATCAGAGCAGCAGCTCAGCAGCAGCGAGGGCGGGGGGGTTCCTTTCACACAGACGCGCACACACAGGCAGAAAGATACAGAAGAATAACTTTCAAGATTACTTTGTTAAGCGAATATAACTGATGTTGTTCTTTATACTTTTGTCATCCAAATCTAGAAGTGATCACTTTCCACACTAGTAACAAAAGGCACTCTTTAGTGTTTAACGTTTCCCTTTTTATAATTACTTTTAATTCACCATGGTTTCTCTCAAAGGGACTTTAACCCTGAAGCTTCTTCTCAAAGGGACTTTAACCCCGAGACTTCTCTCAAAGGGACTTTAACCCTGAGACTTTCTCAAAGGGACTTTAACCCCGAGGCTTTCTCAAAGGGACTTTAACCCCGAGACTTTCTCAAAGGGACTTTAACCCCGTCAGGCTTTCTCAAAGGGACTTTAACCCCGAGACTTCTCAAAGGGACTTTAACCCCGTGACTTTCTCAAAGGGACTTTAACCCCGTCAGGTAGCGAACCTGTTTTTAATCTAATCTGATCTATAGATACATGACATTTGGCAGACCTTAAAACAGACCATAATTTAGTTCACTCAATTAGCAGACTTTGAATAAACAGGTGTCCGCTCTTACCTTTTGTCGAACAGGGCCCAGGTACCGTCAAAAGTCCACCAAATATCAGCTTTTCCACGTCCAACCAGGTCTCCAGATCATGAACCAGCGCTCACTAGTACCGGGAACTAGTTTCCATCGGCAGAGACCAATCGCACGTCAAAAATCCCCGGAATGCGGACATGGGAAAACAATTTGAAACGCTAAGTCCAAAAAACAGGACACAAAAAAAATATAGTGAGACAGCGAAAAAGAGTCCCGGAGCCGGTCGCCTCTCCAGCCTGCTGGACCGCTCCCAGGCCCCAGACACTCTCAGCTCTCCCACGCCGAGAAAAAGAAACAAAGCAAACTCCCTCAAAACAATCCAGAGAATGGCACAAACCGAGCCGCGCATTCTCCACCAAATCTGTTAGGATTTAAGCAGACAGAGACGGATCGTGGTGTGCCAAACTCTGGAAGTTTATTTAAGTTTCTCTCAAATTCCACTGGTTTACTCTGTTTCTTTTCCTCAGACAGAATAAAGGCAGTACACAGTTTATATAGTCATTGTCACGTCACACATCGAAAGACATACGTGTCACAAAGAGACAGTCAAATCATAGTCATAACATGGAGTCCTTGTAGAGTCCTTGTACAGTCCTGCACGTAGGCCATATTGCTATCTAATACTAACATGTGGACGTTAGTTATATGCCTTTTTCATTAGACAATCTGTAACAATTCTTCCTTTTATTGTTAAACGTTTCAACAATTCTGAAAGTAGATGTGTAGAAGTAGATAAAGTAGATCTGTTTCTTATGTGTACTGGTCCTGTTCTTCCTAGAGCAGTGGGGCAGTGCGAGGTAGGAGCGATCACGCTCCTCCTCCTCCATACATACACGGCACGTGCTGAAACTTTAATGAGGCCTTAATTGCAGAGTGCGTGTAAAAGTGTGTGTGCATGTGTGTGTCTTACAGGAGAAGACAAAGGAGCTGGCACAGAAGCAAGCTCAGCAGTGAGTGTCCTTTTACTACTATGTGAGAGATCAGCCACATGGAGCTGGGCCCAGGCTACACTTCGGGCGTCCGGGGGACAAGGGCACACAAATCAAATCCATTTAATTTAGATCCTAAAATCACAACGGCCGTGAAGAATTTTCATTTGCCAATATGTAAAATATTTTTTATCTAATAAAAACGAGTACTAGTAGTGGTAGTATTATTACTATTATTACTACTATTAGTAGTAGTGGTAGTAGTAGTAGTACTAGCAGGAGTATTTTGTTTATGTATAAATATAATATAATATACCTATAAAATAATATTATGTTATTTATGGAAAAACAACAGAACAAAATCTTTCTAACATTTCTCAGTAAACAATGTTTTAGTGTTTCACTATAGCGCTGATGCTGCTGTAAACTGATAACTGTTTTAATGTTGGGTTTTAGCATTGTTTGATATCTGATTCGCAATTCTTTTGACACCCTAGTTCACAAAGTAATGCCAATGGCAGAGAATTGGTCCTGTCTGCCCCAACACAAGCTGGGCTGGGTAATGACTATAGAGTGACCTGAGAGTCTGTGGACAATATAAGTGCTATGAAGTGTGCTATAGTAGAGGTAGTTTTTCATGTGTTAGGGGGGGTCTTTCTCATTTTAAATATATAATATTATTTTGTATTACTCAGCACTTTGGCAACAATCTTCATTATTCATCATTTCATTGACAGTAGAAGCAGGAAAGAAAATGTACAATTGGGATTTAGGAAGCTGTCTTCCATCTGTTCCATCCCATCTGCACCGCAATTGTATAGCGCTTTGTGACACTCAGTTTGTGGAAGGCGCTATACAAGATAATTATTACTTCCTTACTTACTTCTGTCTGCAATCAACATAAAAGCTAACCACAATGATGCCAAATCCATTCCTGTCTTTTCAGTATAAAAATTGGCAACATTATCTTTTTTGAGTTTTTAACCATATTAAAACATCATCCATAACAGACCTGTAGTTATTTTTAGATCCATCACACTAATATCAAGAACTTCTGGCACAAACACGTCCCCTCGTCCCTTCCGTCTAAGTGCTCCTGACTAAAGCTTTTACACTTTTAAACCAACGTGTTGCCACCCAAATTTTTTTTTTTTGATATTTCCTGTGAAATTGCAACTGCATGGTTGTATGTTCTGCAATGTTTGATGTTGACAAATATTTAAATTCATCACCTCCTTCTGGTGGGATGCTGAGATCATTTCCGTAACGACTATGCATATTCATCGATATATTCTCTAGTAAAGAAATTATTATTAGAAATAGTCCCATTATCATGTTTAGGGGCAAAAATTATGTCTTCTTTAACTTTATCATTCATGTTATTTGGCTGATCAGGGGCGTACAGTAGCTGGTTCATCATGTGTTTATTATTTCATGTGTGGGGTTTCATGACAGTGTATTGACATGTCCTGTGCTTGTGTGTGTGTGCAGTCAGGACCCCGCCTCCCTGTCCCTGCTAAGTATCTCAGACCTTTTACCAGATCTACAGACCATCTTCTTCTGGATGTCCAACTCCATCGAGATTCTCTACTTCATCCAGCAGCGCACTCCGGCCTACACACACAACATCGAGAACATGCAGGGTAGCACCATCCATATACGCAGGCTTTTTGTTTGAGCTATTTGTATGCTTTAGATAGCCACACTGAGCTGAACGCTGCTGTGATTAAGGAAATGTGTGCGCCATTTTGTGTCTAGGATCCAAGGAGTCGCTGCTATCGGCAACCATCTCCGCCAATGAGGAGGCCATGAGCATCCTGGAGGAGGTCATCATGTACACCTTTCAGCAGTGTGTCTACTATATCACCAAGGTAACACATTTATACTGTAGCACTGGCCACAGGGCATGCTGATTTTGCACATATGGGTTTGGGTTCATTGTATTGGCGTAAATTATCTTCCAAACCGAAAAACATGATGTGAGGGTGTCATGCCTCACAGTAAGAAGGTATTGAAACTGTATATAGTTTGGGGGGTGGGGGTGCTAATAAGCTTTTTGCTTCAGCCCACTCCTTTTGAGCAGAATTAATACTGTTCAAATAAATAAATAAACCGGGATTCGAACCCAGGATCTTCTTGCTGAGATGTGAGAGTGCTATCCACTCAGCCACCGTGCCGCCTGATCATGAATCAAATATTACGTGTTCACACTTGTTGGCCTCGTTCACTTTAACTGGACCAAGTCTTGTTCACTTGGCGGCACGGTGGCTGAGTGGATAGCACTCTCAGCAAGAAGGTCCTGGGTTTGAATCCCGGTCGAAACAAGGACCTTTCTAAGTGGAGTTTGCATGTTCTCCCCGTGTGCTCCGGTTTCGCCTACAACTAAAAACATGCACAATACGTATGAATGTAAATGAGAGAGTGAATGGATGTTGTTGATTGGGGGCTGATGCGCCAGTGCGTTCGGCGATTCGCTTCTGTCATCACCGTGTGTGGAATGATTGGAACAATCTGAACTCTGAACATTGTAAAGCGCTTTGGGTGACCTTGGTCTGTAATATGTGCTATATAAATAAACATTACTTACTTACTGTACTTACTTGGGGGAAACATGCTTCACAGATTTGTGTCAAAAGATGTAATGTGGTTATAATGTGCTGTGGCCAGGCTCTGTACGTGGTGTTGCCGGGCCTGCTGGACTGTAACCCCTTCCCTGTGGACGGCTCAGAGCCCTGTTGGAAAGGAGGAGTGGGCTTTCCGGAGCCAGTGCGCAGAGTCCTACAGGTGAGCTCCAAACTACAACCAACCACACCCAAGAGGGTTTACAATAGTTGATTACACCTGTAATTAACTATCGTATGTGGTACTATACATAAATCCTCTCCAAGACATGCTATTTGTTACAGTCAGTGCTCTAAATGGCCCCAAAAAAGTGCGGGTACTTTTTTTTTTGCCCAGGGGAATGTTTGCATGTTTTTAAAACAAGAGAATGCACATTTTCCATGAAGTTTTATTTAAAACTGTCAACGAACCTTTAGAGATATGCTTGAGCTAGAAAGAGCTACTGAAATAAATTAAAAATGATAAATAGTAGTTAATTAAAGAATGTTGAACAAAAGGTTGTTGACATTAGATCAACACACACACAGTACTTGTATCTAACCAGGAGGACTGGCAGGTTTGACAGTGATTCAGGACATTCTTTTCTTTTATTAAGTCTCGCGTCTTAACATTTACTGTCTATGGTCTGACGACACCAGCCCACAGAGACCATGAGTACACAGATATCGGACTGGTGTTGCCCTACATCAGTTCTCTAGGCCGTACTGTCCTCCACACTTCTCCATAGACCACACATTATCCCTCATTTATGAAACTTGCGCAGAAAAGGGTGTATATTTTGGGTGTATATTCCAAATCCGTAAGAGCCAACGCCGGATTTATGAACGTGTGAGATCCGCACAGATCTGAGCGTACACAGCTGCGGGTGTTGATAAATGCAGCGTGAAAACAAGCGTATTTATAAAAGTCACGCCTATAAATATTCAGAAAACGCTCGTTTCACGCCCAGTTTTTATGACAGGTCAGCATGGAAGTCGGCCAAGAAGACTGTTGGAAGCCTCAAAAAGCCTTTGCCACGCACTCCTGAGTTTATTCACGTTTGTTTGTATTATAGCGTAAATATACGTTATAATATACACGCATTTTTTCCCTATTGTCTAGACCACATGTGTCAAAGTCAAGGCCCGCGGGCCAAATCCGGCCCGCGAATGCATTTTACATGGCCCGTTGCTTGCCATTGACGCACTATTACGTCAATTGCGTTTTCCGCTATTTTCATGTTCCCAGATGTCTATTATATCTAATATGTATGGGGATAAGCTTGAGAGCATATTGAATCAAGCCAGCAGGTGGCAGCAGCGCTCTCTGAATGGTTTGAAAACAGCTAGATGCACTTGTTGTGCCTCTTTTTTCTCAACTTTTTGGTGATTTCAGTAAAACTTCCCTCTACTCAACTGGGGATTACAAGCTAGAAACAAAATTCTTTTTGTTGATGAAAGTAGACAGTCTATTCTTTCAGAATCTGGTTTCGGATTTCAGATAGTCATAGTACACAATATTCTGTGGTTCTTGAAAAATCTATAAAAATCATCAGAAACTGCTGGCAATATGGGAGTACCTGTTCTGAAATAGGCTGGCAGACAATGAGTTAATAAACATTGAACCAGTCCGGCCCTCGGCTCGCAGCAAATTTGTGTTTTTGGCCCTCTGATGTATTTGACTTTGACATGCCTGGTCTAGACCCACTGCAGAACTCATCTTTCTTCAACTTTAGAAGTAAATAAATAAATAAATAATGAATGAATGAATGTTAATATCTCGGCCTCAGCGGTGGCTCTCATCATTAAAGTGGTTCTCACCCCCGCTCCTCGGAGCTTATGTCACTCACATTTCCTGTTCAAATCTTCCTCTAAATGGGTGTAGCCTGGAGGACTAAAGGGGGCGTGAACGAGACTGGGCCGTTTACATTGCTCTGGGCGGGGGGCTGCTGACGTCAGGTCCAACTTGCAGACGTCAGGTCCAACTTCTGTGCCAGTGTTGGCGCCAGATTCAAAATTCAAATGTAGTAATACAGGTCGCCAGCAGATGGCGCCTCACAGACGGTTTTAGGCAGAAAGTCTAACTTTCAACTAATTTGCACCAAAGTGACAAGATTATGACCAGGATATGTAGACAACACTATTGGACACTCATTTATACCGTTTATCAGCAAAAAAAGTGATATGCTTAAAAGCAATCTCTGGGAGAGAGAAAGATACGTATAACCACATTTGAGCAGTGATGCGGTGGGACCTCTCCTGGCACCTGCTGCGCACTGACCCAGAGCCACTGCCCGACTCGGGCAGTGGCTCTGGGGTATAATTTTGCCAGACTGGGATAATGTTTATTGTTGTCCAAATCTTGATGCCTGTTTTGGCGAGTTGTGATGAAGGTTGAGATGGGTGTAAAATTTACACCACCTCCTATTATATTTTGTTCATACCTGTAGGGTAATAATATTACAGTAAGCTATAAATTTAGTAGTGTGGAGCGGCTAGTCTCCGGATCAGAAACTCGCCGTTCCCCCAATGGATCTGTCTTATTTATTTTGGGCACCAGTAGACGTTTGAGGGTCTACGACAGACCCAGGGTATTTGCCTCGATACCAGTATCACAAATCTGAAGGTAGTGAATGCGTAAATCGGCCAGGGATGTTCCGAAATCTAACAACACGACTCTGATAGGATTGAGTTAAAGAAAAGGGGTTTTATTGATTACAAAAATGAAGGTAAAAATATAACGAAGGGAATTTCTGGTCACATTAAAACGTGGTATAAAAAAATAAAAATTAAAAAGTGGTATACATTTCATTCAAATCACACATTTAACAAAGAACAGTCTTACTTTGTAGGAGCGTAGAGGATGGAGAAAGGATTTGGGTTGGGGAATCAGCCCACGTGGTTTCTTTGTCTGGGCAGGCGGGAGGTACGAAGCCAGCGAGTCTGGTCCAGCTGCTGATCCACGCGTATACAGCCCAGTCCGGAATGGGTTGCGTGCGTAGAGTCCAGAGCCAGGGAAAGAGGCTGGTGATGGAACAGTTCATAAGGTCCCGAGCCAGAGGAGAGGGTTGTGTTGCGGAGTAGAAGGCCCGATGCGTGCAGGCGCGGCCGTAGTAGGAGACACGTGCCGCGAGACGCAGAACGGCAGGGAGGCTGAAATAGTGATTTCAAGAGAAGACAAGAGATCGTTCTATTGCATTGTGCGTGTTTATATTGACTTCCCAGGGGCGGCGTGTCCATGCCGTCCTCCCCTCTGTGGACAAACCCCTTCACAACAGACATTTTGCAAAGGAAACACACAGGATTGATGCAAATGATCATAACACATGTACAAACACACACCGCATTTCATTACTTGACATTGATACACACATGTGGGGCACAATGCAGATTATTGGAGTACTGGACCCAGGGGGCACCATCACACCCGTCCCGGGTGTGATGGTGTCCATTGTTCACTAGGGGGCGCCAGAACGCCGCGGGTGAGTCTTTGATTGTCCGGGGACAGGGGTCCCGGGAGTGAGAGCAGGGTTGTGATCTTTGATCTCTACAGGCAGGCAGAGACAGAGGTGCTTATCCCCGTGGTGACTTTATTGCTCTGTTTGACATCTGTAATCCCCATGATCAATGGTAGTCCTCCGGCCGACCTCGCTGTTCCTTTGAAGCCGCAGTGGGATGTCTCCCTCCTTTTGGTCGAATGTGTACACAGTCCAGGGCCTGGCTCTGTTTTCCGGCCCTGCCCCTTATTTAACCTTACATACCGTACGCCCACCTCGAGATTGATAAATGCCGTAAAGTGTAAATTTTTTGCGTACGCCACATTTACACCCTGATTTGGCCGTACGCAAGTTTCATAAATGAGGGCCAGTGAGAGCATCAGTATAGTTTAGGGGTCTCCAACCTGTAGCTTGGTACAGTAGCTACCAGTAGCTTGCCAGCCCCTTTCAGGTTCAAGGATTTAGAATTTAACACATGATCTTGAATGATTCACTTTTGAATCATTACATCTATTATAAGTATAAGTATAGGGCTATACAGTATTTTGGTATTTTTTACATCTGTTTGTTTTGCCGTAATTATTACATAGAGGTTTATTATGACCGCAAAAAATAATAGCTCTTTGCCTCTTCTATTGTATGAAAGTAGCTCTCCGATTAAAAATAAACCCCTGGTGTAGTCAATGTGTCTCTGCACTTGGCCTGTGTGAGGAGAGCCTGAGAGCCGCTCGTCACTCGCTGCACCGCAAGTGACCAGCACCCGCGAGCACCACTTTGAGTTGTTTAAAGCGGTAAAAGTGAGGCATGCGCCTTTCGCTCGTAAAACTTATACTAAACTAAGTAGCAAGCGTGCAATGTGAAGCAGCGGAACATCTGAAGTATTAAATGTGCAAATGAGTGTATCAGTCATGGACTAAGTTCCTGTACGGCAAAAGCACGTTCTTGGCGCACATGGAGAGGTAGCGGTACGCTCAAGAGCTATTTTTGGCCCACTTAAAGCACTGGTTGCAGTCAGATAAGTTGCAATGTGCACTTTTGAAGGGACACTCATTGTTTTTGCTCTTAGTTAAGCTTATTGCAAATGCTCCAGTGTCTATGTCCTGTATGATTAACATACAATTTGATTGTGTTAACGTAAACATTGTGGCTCCATATCCTTTGTATTTGTAATGAATAATAAACCATCATGATATTTTGTACCAATATAATCAAAATCGAACATACTGTACCGTAACAACACTAAAAGAAGCTATACCCGATTTATTTTCTAATGATATTACTACATACAAGTTGTATATCCGTAATATAATTGAAGACTTGAGCTCATTGATTCAGCTTGTGTATGAATTCAGGCTGTATAAAGTGCTGAGTACAGACTTAGCGTGAGGCTCGCTCTCCTCCGCTCACAGAATGAGGAGCGGCGCTGTTACAAACAGGCTGCGTCCTCTAGCCTCTACAGCGCTGCTAAACACAGTAGCATGTTAGCAGAATTGTCAATAACTCCTCTTGCTGTAACTGCATACACAACAAAACAGCCCAAACGACGCAACAGTGAGGAAAAGAAGAGGGAACTAAAGCAAAAAACTGGTGCGGGACCACCTTGGACTACATTTGGTCGCAAAACTAGCGGTAATCTTTCAGTTATATATTTTGTCAGCAGTGCGTTGCTTTAGTACCATTTCATCAGTGATTCTTGTACAGCTTACAAGAAGTTGCGCTAATGTTTGCATACGCAAATAAAACTAGATGGCTCCGTGGGATGAGAGCGTACGGGAAATGAGAAGCCTGTGAGCGAGTTGGGGGGCAGTGCTAAACATTCAAACTCAATCAATCAATCAATCAAATTTTATTTATAAAGCGCTTTTCATAACTGAAAGAAACCTTGCAGAAATGGGTATATCTCCTTAAACTGAAAGAAAGCAAAAAAGACAAAACAAAACAAACTATAAAAACTAGGGCTGTCAAACGATTACAATTTGTTAGTTGATTAATCGCACAGAAATGGTGAGTTAACTCACGATTAATCGCATTTTTAACATTCTATTTCAAATCCACTCCAATTGAAGTTAAATGAGATCATCAAATATAATGACACATTGTCATTCATACCAAATGTACTTAAATCTGTTAGATTTGCTCACAACCTTTTGCTTTTGGGCACAAACAAAATGAGATGTTAATGAAATGGGGAAATTTACATACCCCAGCTTTAATTCGGCGTTTCAGTTTAGTTTAGTTTCAGGAGGAGACAGGACACTTCCGCGGTGTATTTGCGAGCACAGGTTACGCAAAGGTTGCAAAGACACGAACACAACATGCAGACAATAGTTCTGTGGTGTGTAGGGTCGTATATGACCATGTTACCGCGGCGCCATTCACTCACAGCCGCTCACAGCCGTGTTGTTGTTAGCGGCTCACAGCCAGAGCGGCCGCGGAGGAGGCGGACTTCAGTTCATAGCAAACAACAGCCCCGCGTATTCTTTTAAAACATGAATTCCCAGAGGGCCTACCTGCTCTGATGCATCTCACACGCAGCATTCTGAGTGATATTATGGATAAATGGGCGGGTCATTCGGACATGCGTTAATTTTTTTTTAACGCGTTAATGAAAAATTTGATTAGCGTGAGTTAACGCGATAATTTTGACAGCCCTAATAAAAACATCATGTGGCTTATTATTTCATCCATGTGTTTTGCTCACAGGTGTTTCAGAGTTCCCAGGAGCTGCTGCAGGGATACCATGTCCACCCAGAGATCCAGGCTCAGATGTTCGCCTACCTCTTCTTCTTCTCCAATGTGTCCCTGTTTAACCAGCTCATGGACAAAGGTAGTGTGTATGTGTATATGTATATATGTGTGTATGTGTGTATGTGCGCGTGTGTGTGCGTGCGCGTGCGTGTGTGTGTCCTGGTGTCCTTGTCAGCATTTTGACGGGGACTAAGCCTCACTCAACACTGTCCTCATTGCCCTTTCTGTAGCCACCCCTCCCCTCGTCTCCTTCCATCCATCTGGCCGTTCTGGGTGAGACACGAAAACGGAGGGGGGTGGAGAGGACAGAGGAAGGGTAAAGTCAAGGTTAGAGGGGCTGGGCTCTCTACTGTAAGGAAGACCATCTTCATAAAATAAAATAGTATTAACTAACTCTAGTGATTAGTTAGATTAATCACATTAATGTCATAGTTAACTTGCGATTAATCACAATGAATTGCATATTTTTCCATGTTCTATAAGGGAATGGATGAAGCTTATATTACCACAGTAGGACATAAACCATTCACATCTGTGTCAAAATGAAACTCCTCTATCAAAACTCAAATTCTACTATCAAAACTCAAACTCTAAACAAACTAGACAAACAACCATTTGTCAAAATGAAACTCTGAGGACATAATGATACACACTTGCATCATGTGAACACACTTTCAGATCGGAGGCAACACACTACAGTACTTTATATAAAACACAACCGTCACTGTTCTTTTCACTGGTTATTTTGTTTATTAGTTAGATTTCTGTGAAGCTCAATGGAACTGTTTTTGTTCTCAAAGAGAGTTTATCAGCAATCATGACAGCACTGAAAGGTTACAAATAATATCAACGCCATACTGTACATCACAGTACTACAGTATACTTTACTGCATTTGATTTTGATTTATTTAGGGAAAACGCTTTGAGATGCAGCATCTCATTTTTGAGAGGGTCCCATGAACATAAAACAAACACAATACATGTAATACAGCACAATACAAACAATTAACATTTATACATTTAACACACACAGGACAGGTTTGCTCCTTCAGATCCCACTCCACCTCCTACTGTAATAACACATTCAAAAAACATATACATCATTACTGTATACAATATAGTCAAATACAGGCCATACATACTGTAGATACATAGATAGATAGATAGATACTTTATTGATCCCCATAGGAGAAATTCAAGTGTCCAGTAGCGGCAAAAATAAAAATAAAATTGATCATTCTGAAAACATAATAATAGTAATAATCACAGCCCTTCAGGTCACAGCAGCAGAGGTGGAGTAGCCTCTGGGTGTAGCAGGACGGGTCACAGCAGCACAGATGGAGTAGCCTCTGGGTGGAGCAGGACAGGTCACAGCAGCACAGATGGAGTAGCCTCTGGGTGGAGCAGGACAGGTCGCAGCAGCACAGATGGAGCAGCCTCTGGGTGGAGCAGGACGGGTCGCAGTAGCACAGATTGAGTAGCCTCTGGGTGGAGCCGGACTGGTCAGAGCAGCATAGACTGAGTAGCCTCTGGATGGAGCAGGACGGGTCACACAAAACAACAACTGTTTTAGTGCTACTTAGGACTTGCAGCCGTTTCCAGGCGCATCTTTCAACAACAAACAAAAACAAAAAATTCATTTTTAAAAAATGTTTTACTGTCCGGGAAAATGTTGTAGTCTTCAGATGAGGTAAAATACCTTGGTCACTACATCACCAGTGACCTTTCTGATGACAAGGACATGCACAGGCAGCTGTGTCAGTTATATGGCCAATCTAATATGCTGCCACGTAAGTTTAGCTGTGCTCTCCTGAGGTAAAGGTAACTTTATTTAAATCTTACTGCTCACCTTTGGAAGAGTTTTAAAAAGTCCAGTTTGCAGAAACTCACTGTGGCCTATAACAACTCCTTGAGGCTGCTGCAAGTGATATGTTTGCCTACTGTGGTGTCCGCTCTTGTTCTGCATCTCTTCGTAATGTACAGTTCAGATTCATGTGTCGTCTGAGGAACTCTAAAAATGCAATTGTTAAGACTCGGGTCAGCCCCGAGTTCTGCTCACTGCTGTTCACCTCCAAATTATGGACTTGTTCTCTTTTTTGTTTTGTTTTCCTGTATATATTTCTTTTTCAATATGCAATATATTGTGTGTATTGGATATTTTCTTTTAACTATGGACCGTTTTGTATTGTGTCCTTAATGAAGATTATTAATAATAATAATAATAACAGTACATGTTACAGTTTTTCCTATTGCTTGAACACTATAGACACATACTTAGACCAAAGTTACAGAATCTGAAGCTTTTGTACTATAGACCTAAAACACAGTCTAACCATTCCTTAAACAAAAGTACTGCTTTGCACTTTACTTTCATTTCTGCAACACACTTGCTCCTTCTGCAACATACTTTCTATTTCTGCAACACACTTTCTCCAGCTCACGACACATTGTATCATACATAAGACACTTTGTTCATAAATGCTATTCTGTGTAACAGTTTTTCTCTATTGCTTAAACACATTTCACGATACTGCCCTCACTTTTCACAAAACTCTAAACACAAAGCACTTTTTTAAAGCTACGGACACACAACCTCACAGTGCTTTTTCAAAACACTACACCAAAACAGTTGCTCATATGCTTAAAAGCAAACTAACTCCACAGTTCTGCCCAAGGCCTGCAAAAATGTAAACACTACTGAGCATGATTAACCACATTACCAAAACAATTGAAAACACAATTATCAGAGTGTTAGACTGTTCTTTTTACAGTTTCACAACTGCCAGGATATATTTGAGCAACCCTTATTTAATCAAATATATGTATTGGACATTTACTATAGTAACATAATGCAAACAATGCAGTTATATCATGGAGTACTGTAAACTCCATGGAGGATCCATTACACATAATAGATACTAAAGTACAGTAAACAATTGAAAACAATTGAAAACACAATGTTAAGGGTGTGATATCAGTTGCTCTTATTTCATCTGTAATGAAAATGCTCTGTCTTACTCACCGTCCTTTTCCTCTCCCTCCTTGACCTGCATCATTGGGGAAACACATTTATTCAAAATACCAAACACATTGTGTGATTACAGTTTTTCTCTATTTCTACAACTGCTTCCGATCTGAAAGTGTGTTCACATGATTCAAGTGTGTATCATTATGTCCTCAGTGTTTCATTTTGACACAGATGTGAATGGTTTATGTCCCAGTGTTGTGTGAGGTTATATTGTGTGCAGGGTTTTGGGACAATGAGCAAAATTTTGAAATATGTTCAAGCAATAGGAAAAAACAGTAATACTGCAGTTACAGTCGAGAGTTGGAGACATGTTTCCATCTGAAGATCCTGATAATGGAGCTGAGGCTGGACTCTCTGCTTCCCTGATTGTGAGGCCATGATGAATCACATGATCCACCAAAATGCTTTAATGTCCTTAGAAAAACTTCAACCACGTCCTCCTCATATTGCTCCTTGTCTTCCTCTTCTTCTACCTCTTGCTTTTCCTTCCTTCATACTTGCAAAGTTCTGAAAATGGCTAAACTAAGGCCTGTTTATGCCTGATGTTCTCAATCACTACTTGTGGTATTGCTTTTCACAGTGTATATAACTATTGAACATGGTAAAATGACTGAATTACTCTTTTGTTTATGTTTTACTTCGGGTCAGTTAGATGGGTTTTTACAGTGTATTTGACTCGTGCAGTGGAAATAACTATAGCTTGGGACATGGAACACCTCCCCAGAAGGCATCCAAAACAGATGCCCGAGCAACCTCATTTGGCTTCTCTCTGGTATCTGTCGCCATTTCACACTGCAGACCTGCGTTTTTGGACCCACATTCAAATGCTGAGTTGACCTGTGTCAGCAGTAAGAACACGAGGCAGGTTTTTTAAACCTGAGTTAAAAGATGGTTAGACTGAGGCACCCTCAGTGCAAGAAGGAGTGGGAGAAGTACCGCAGGGCCTTCATCCCCACCACTGTCAGACTGTACAATAAGTCACTTTATGCCACTAATGACCTGAACTAGGACTGCAAAATCAGCACTGCTATAGCCACTTTTATTGTACATAATATATCCTGCACAGACTATATTTTTTTTACCTTTAACAGTAAACATGTTTAAACACTTAATGTCTTTTTGCACAATCTGAGTGATACTACCTATGCTGAATGTGATATGTAAATTGCGCCATTGTGAGATCAAGAAAGTTTATCTTATGTTATCTTAAAAGGTGTTGGCAGTCAATGCGCTGTGTACAGGACCAGAGTAAATTGTGTTTGAATTTAAAAGTAGTCCATTATGAGTAGTGTTGTATTTAAAATGTTATGTACCTGCGCTTGTCAGTGCCAGCAGATTTCAAATGTTGATAGGGTATTTGCTCATGTCACGGCTGCTCACACTGCATTCTAAAGCCAATTTTAGGTCTACCTATATATACTGCAAAATCATGTTTCAAATTCCAAATGACTAAAAATGTAGACGGTGACAGGAGGAAATATTGAATATAGTGAATATATGTCTTTGGGCCTATATATGCAGGAATCATTTTGTGATGAAATAGGGGTCATTCATGTTCATTACATACACACTTATTTTCATCCATCCATCCATTTTCTACCCTTTAATCCATTTCTGGGTCAGGGGGGTGGCAGTCAGAGAGGCCACCCAAGTCTCATAGCACCAGCCCCTCACTGACCCTCTGCAGGTGGTGAGTCCACAGGAGGACGGCTGCTCTCTGAGTGTGAGCATAGCCTTGATCTTTCAGTGGGGGCTTTGGGCAAAGTGGGGTTAAGTGTCTTGCCCAAGGACACAACGACAGCAGTCATCAGTGGGAGTCAGCAGTCATCAGTGAGTCATCAGTTGGAGTCACACACTCATTTTAATATCCTTTATTCTAAATAATTTAACCAGTGAGGCTTTTTATTGATAGAACACAGCTCGACAAAAAGTGGTGACCTCTGCATATGTGGTGGATTTGTTCATTCTTAGTTTTTTGTTTCCACGTTTTTTTCCTTTGACTCGTAGCGAAGCAGAGAATCACTGATTCAAATGCACATATACAGCAGTTT